GGTCACCAACACCAACAGACATGACCTGTTCACCTTACTCAGGCACTGTGGAGGTGTGCCTTCGCACGTGAGGCCACTGCCCTGTGCCTGCCATGCTCTCACCTGAGCTCCTGCTTCCCATTTGACACTGAATATTATTGACGCATCTCCTGGTTGAATGACACACAAGGTAACAGCAAAAAACTATGGAATTTTGAAAGTAGAAAAAACCCAGATACTCACACAGTGAAGGAATCAGGGGGAGCTGAGACTCTCCTCAGGTCAGCAGACTGCACTTTATGGATACTATAAGGCAGCAGGAAATGAGTGGCCAGGAGAAACGCAGAACACAGTGTGGACAGACAAGGAAAAAGGCCGGGGCGGGGGGGAAGAGAGAGAGTGTGGAAGAGAAGAAAGAAAGAGAAAGACATACAACATTTAAACAGAAACAAAAGGAATGTGTCACATAAGTCGAATGAAGACATGCAGAGCTCCAAGTTTACGCTAGGAAGCCAAGAGCAACAGAAGACATGCAAATGGAGAAAATCACTACTACATGGCACACAGGAGCTTTCTAAAGACATGAGTGAGGAGGATCAATGAAAAGCTAGGCACATGGCTAGACAAGGAAGACAAGGAGCCCCAGGACTTGTTACACAGGCATCAAACAATTTCAAGGCAACAGACTTTGGAAGCAGGTCCAGAAATGCAAAACACCAAAGCCAATATCTTAATGGATGAAATTGTCTCCAAAGGTTGGCCAACTCTAGTTAACGTTTAAGAAGAAAAAAATACCCTTACTGGAGATTTTGAATCCACAATGACAAATTGCTGTCTCCATTCTTCTTTCATGTACCTTAGGGAAACATGTATTTTATATATAGTGACTCCCAAGACTGGCTCTCTTTTAATGTTTATACTCAAATGGCCCCTTTGTTTCTCTGAAGTATATGAAATACATGTTTTGTTTATAATCTCTTCCCTCCTCTTTCTCTTCCATCATGCAGGACATTCTTCCTCAATCCAAGCTAAAAGCCAGTGAAAGCAAAATGCCATCTTTGAGGTTCAAAAAGTGATTGTTAACTGAAACTTACTCAGCAGCATACAAAACTGTAGTTTCTAATCAGAAAATGACTCCTGGAAAAAACACAGCTTCTCTTTTCATTCCACATTAATTTTGCTTATAGCTCACAAGAACCACATTCTTGGCTTGATCACAAAAAACCAAGATATATGTTGTCTCTTTCACAGGTTACCATGATCAGTAGTGGACAGACAGGAATGAGAACTCTGCCAGCTAGTCTTTAGGGGGAGGACAATAAGAACATAATTCAGTCTTTTGCAAGAAAAACCCAAGTCTGTTGATCTGTTCATAGCAAAAATTTGCTTTTGCTGGTACAAACAGAAAAGACTTTACCAGAAGAAACCTTTTCTTCCCACAACCCCACTATCTGCCTTGTTTCAATCCATTAGCAACTGTAAACAGCATCACTTTATCCTGTATATTCCTTGCAAATGAAAAGTTGCTTCTGGCTTGAAAAAATTTATTAGATTGTTACTTATCTCCATTGTAAAGCAATTCATTGTAGGGTGAAGGAGAAATTATGCCTGCCTTTTATGTTTAGACAGCCTCCATTACAAACAAATTAGAATCACTGTTACTGTATTCACCAAAGAACAGCTTTCCTCCATATGCTTCAACTCAAAATGTTAAAGTTATCAGAAGAGTACAAACCATAAACAGGTTATCCTCACCTACTCAAGTACTCATACAGTCTGTATATCACATCAAGACAGCTTAACTTTCCCAAAGGAAATATTAAAAAAAAAAAGAATACTTGATAATCAGTAAGAGAGATCATAATTAACATACTGAGAAAGTTCTGTGTAGACAATTCAGCAGTGAAAGATTAAATAACTGAATAAAATATTAATTGCCAGTAATTCGCCCAGCTGTGACAAAATGCAGCATATTATATTTATTTTTTCTCTAATAGCTTGCACGAAGCTTTTCACGCTGCTTGTGTCAAGAAGGAAAGGAGGCTCCTTCAGTTCAAGTAGCCCTATGGTAGCGCTACATTTTTGTTCCTTAACTTGACTCCATGGCCAACTTTTTTTATTAAAGACTAGAAAAGACTAGGAACATTTACACTGTCAAAAGTGTTGCTGAATCTTCCCCATACCTTGAAAAAGGCAAATTACTCAGTAACAGATAAAACAAGGACTCTCCTCATATAGGAGTTTCTACCTTGAAGGTCTGTGTAGAACCACATGAGGCAGTTTATGTGCAATAGAAGGTGCTGGAAGCACAACAGTTGGAAAATGGAGGGAAAAAAACAGGTCAAAAAAGGTCAGATCCCTTCTTCTCATATACAAGTGTCCTCTTGGAGCATCTACATATTTTGAAGAAAAGCAGTTTCAACCAGGAAGACGGGCAACTCTTAGTCACAAGAGGACCCTGTTTCTAAAGGCCTCCCACTCCCAAGTGGGAGGCGCACAAAATATCTGTTGTTCTCACTCAGCTACATTATATATGGACTTTTCATTTTTAAAACACTAGTATTCCCTGGAAATTCAAGTGCACCCACAAAGCAAACAACAAACTCACTATCCTCTCTAAAGACCTTCTCCTTAAAACCTCCAGAACAAAGAACAACATAGTAGAAAGAAACACAGTGTAAGACTTCAAATTAAGTCATCTTTTACTTATGACACTGGACTAGCTAAAACTCCAAGGCGTATTCCTACTGCTCTCCTTATCTAGCAATAACATCAAAGCTAACAATAGCAGCAACTCTGTGTTACTGTGACACAAGATAATTTTTTAATCACTTCCCTGGCAAGGACCTCAAGAACAGCTGCCTAATAATTAGGGATAGCTCCAGACCCACTTCTCCCATACATCTAATATTCAGATGACAGTCAAAAGAGAACAGTCTATTATGTTCAATCAAATGTAAGGCTTTCTAGCAGATTTCAATAGAATAGGGAGATATATTCTAGATATTAAATTAAGAAATATAGATAAACATATTAAACTGAAAAATTTCTCTCTTGGGAAACACTGCATCATATTGAATGAACTTCTTACAATACTAAAGTGCTTCTTAGAGTTTAACATGCCATTTACTTTTTATCACACCAGAAGATTCAACTCCTCTCTCTCATTCCCCTTCAACACTTGCGAGCAAAGTACATACACACAGATACATATATATAAATATACCTACACACCATTTCTGATACATGAAGCTGAGACTAGAGTTCCTGACAAATCATTTGTATTTTCCTAAAACACAGGTCTGCAGACAAATGCCTCAGTCAAATCAAAGGACTCCAACAGCAACGCAGTCTACCATAGCACATTTAAATTGAGCTAAACCCCAAAGAATAACCTCTTATCATATACTGCGAATCTGTATTTCCTTTCCATAGTTTAAATTCAGATCTCGAAACCCACACCTAACCATGCTAATTATCAGATTGAAATACCAGTAATTTTCTTTCTACATTCACATTAGCCTCCCTCAGTGTAGAAAAAAAGATGCCCCAGGATCACACTCTGCTCAATTCTAGCTTTCGCAAATGATTTTTTGTGGTTGGATGAAATCAGGCATTGTTGCCCACAGGCAAGCATCTGCTATTGTTCACTACTCAATAGAGATGAGTATATGGATTTCCCAGGCAAATAGGAACTGCACATTACAGATACGGGCTTCTACCAAAACTTAAAGCATTAGTCTCAGTAAGAGACCAGAGTGCTAAACTGAACAGGAAGATATTGAAAGTAACCAGGGAAGCTTTGATTACAGCAACAGATTAACAACTAGCAGATGACAAGAAGCTCTAAAGGCTGGAGTCAGTGTCTGAAGTAAAGCAATATCTTCCACTAGATGATACAGTTGAAAGACAGACACAGACCACCTTTAAAGATACCTGAAGAGAAAAGGTGTGCCTGAGGCCCTGTTCGTTTTTTCCAGTTACATAGTTAGTCTAATGAAAGATATTACACCTCTTCATAAACCTTGACTCACCATCACAGCTGAAACAGCAAAATCCCCCACCCACCTCCCCAGAAAAATTAAAACCTCAGTGCATGTGTGTTTGAATTGAATGTGGATCCTTGGTGACATTAGCCCTTTAGCTAGGTATCTGCATAAGGGACAGATCATTTTGCTTCACTTTGAGAATACTTGATGAAAAACAGAAAGGCACTTACTATGTCACTCATTTTAGCAGCAAGAGAGACCTACATAAGTAGTACAATAATCAGCTCTACAAAATATTCTAAATTGTTTCATTGGATGGCCATATTCATATATTAAAATTTGACTATTTAGGTTTTTCCTATTAAAATGTCTCTGCATCACTTACATATAAGGTTTAATCATGAAAAAGAATGTTAGTTCTGTCTGCTTTTTTCTTTGTATGTTCCAGGTTTCCAGTTATCTTGACGCTTCCCTGTTTATCTTTAGACTACTTATCTGTCATCTGGGTTTTCATACTGGAGAAGGATTCTCTACAAAGTGCAAACAGCCCTTTCTGGACCTCCAGGTCCTTCTCCATAAAGAGCCCCAGGCAGCATGCTCCCACAACAGAGAACACATGATATCCTGAGTAATTCTTGATTATGGCTATTTGTTACAGGATCTCCAATAGAGTTTAAAAAGCAGATCAATAAAGTTGAGAAAATGAATCAAAAGAACTTCAAAGGCAAATGGCATACATATGTAGAAGTGTCAGAAGACAAGGGGCACACTGCTGAGCCTGCACAAACCTCTAACTGAAAGATACACCTTTCTAAAAGCAAGGCAGAGGGTAACTCAGAAGGTAAAAGAATAAAAGAAATTCCAGTAAGTATTTACAATATGGCGGAAAGGGAGTTCAGAAGATGTAAATTTTTGTTTGTTTGATTGTTTTTAAGTAAACGAGCTGCAAGACCAGTACATGCAAAATCCGTGACTGAATATGCTGCCCCGAATGGGCCTCCTGCCGTTAGGACATGCACATATCCAACTCACTCATTTAGCAAAGGCATGGATGTTCTCCTCTTGCTCTTCTGCACCATGTTGGCTTGATTCCTTAAGGAGATTCGAATGAGTGAGGGAGCCAGTCGACATGGTTCACCATCCACTTGCATGGGAATAGACTTATATGTTAGAAGTGTCACTTCACGGCACTGATGCAACCTTTCTCCATGACCACCCACTTGGAGAGCAGCCTAGGGAAAAACAAACAAACAAACAACAAAACCACCACATAACCAAAAAAAAAAAAACCCAAGAACAAACAAGACAAAGAAAAGACACCTCAGAACAGATAGTTGAGGCAGTTAAATACAAAATGCAGGTTTTCTGACAGCATCCATTACAGAGCGTTCTACGTGCAAGGCATTCTACAAGTCACAATTAATGTATTTTGCACTCCAAAATTGCAGAGTAGGACTTAAAATTTCACAAGAAAAAGCAGTGGGCAACAAGCATACATCTAACCATATGCATTACATGTCTCATCATTTTGGTAGGTCAAACATACACATAGAAATATGTATATACACACACACACGCGTGCATGCACAAATGAATACCTGTGTTCATTCTTAAAGTTTTCAATTTGTTTTGGTTGGTTTGTTTTTACACTAACAAGACTGCTAGTAATTATTTGCTCTTTAAAACAACCACCCTAATTGGGTACATCTGCAAGACAGAAAAATTATTTCCCCTTCCTGAACATAATACCATCCTTAATGTGAATTAGGTAAAACTAAAATCCTTATTATGAAATTTTACACAGCAACTCAACCTCAAGACTAGACAGGCTGAAAAGAGCAAGCATAAGGACCTTGTTAAAAACTATTAAATACCACATTCAAGACTTCATTTGAAAGAAATTAAACAAGGAGGGCAATGAGCAGATCCTTCAAGTTCTGAGATTACATGTTTGGGCAGAAATGTTTTCTTTAATTTGCAGTGTGACTATTAACTCTCATCTATCAGATGCAAAAGAAAAAAAAAAATCCTATATTAATGCACTACTAATAGAAAGCAGCCTAAACATGAGTCAAGACCCTAAGCTTACTCTATGCACTTAATATTATGGATCAACTGATAATATGGTCAGTAATATTCACAACAACACTTAGAAAACACTTTTATTGCTTGGTCTCACAGACCTTCTTGGATATGACCAAGCACATCTGGGAGACGTACAGAGCAAGTTAGCATTATATTAACACAGGTTACATCTCCTCAGCATCACAAGAAATCTAGACTTGTAGACCCTCAGCTCTGAACTAGGCTTCCTTTAAAGAGAAACAGCAGCTCAAAGGGCCTTACTACTTAAATTCAGTCCCAGCTGAAAATGTTGGTAGCTTTGAGATCACTACCTACTGCGAGTGGTGAGTGACACATTAGTGGCAAACCCAAAAAAAGATTCCATCTGAAAACTGCCAGTTGGTACATGCTAAACAGACTTTGACAGTGTTTTCAGAAATACAGGCTAAAATCTTCAGGGGTGAAGTAACAAGTAAGTGATCATTCCACAAGATCTACTAGGCTAACAAACAGAATTCTGCTTACTTGTAGGTTATTTCCCTAATCCACTAGGATCCATCAAAAAAGAAAAGACCAAAAAAGAATCTGACTAAGGTGACCTTTTACTTTTGCTGACTTTGAAGATTAGATTTGTCTGAATTTGAGGAGGCAAACACCATTATTATGGGTATTTGCTGACTGTGATATGCACTGAGGGCAGGCCACGCAACAAATCAATGTGTGAGTTTAGTGAGAACAGGCTTATCTATGTTAGCTTTAAGCTAGTCTAAAGGAGACATAGCAGAAACAAAGGCCTAAGAATATAAACTTAAGCATGACTTAAAGCTGCCAGGAAGCCCTCAGTTGTGCCTTCTGTTGGCCACACTAAGGTTAAGCTGCAGTGCCTTCGGTAGAGTAACGCCCGCATGAGGATAACTACCAACTCTGACTGCATTTAATCATCCTCTGAAGAGATTGTTGCTTTGTTTAACCACTGTGATAGGACACTAGGGTATTCACAGTGAGATTGCTTTTATAGTAACTCAGCTTCAGTTCACTTTAAGGACTGCACTGACAGAAAGTGCACTGCCAAATTAAAACTGTTGGTTGAATTTTCTTTCCTTATCAGAACAAGAAGAGAGATAACATTTGTGCCAAAAATATTACTATATTTTCCACAGCTATTACTAAACCTTCATATTTTTAGTGAGCATATGGAAACTGCATGTAGTTTTATATAATATTTCATATTTATTTCCAGTAGACAGTTTTACAAAACAATCTGAACTTTTATGCCATAGATTGAAATAATCAAAAGCTAAAAAGAAACCATAGTAATTATTTAACCATAGAACATTCCCACAGTAAATATGTGCATGCATGCTGTGTTTACTCTAATAATCTTGCCATGTAATTTGGGAGCACTACACATGGAAATTAGCCATATTTTGCAGAGTACGTTTTTACTATGAAATAGCACTTCTTTTATTAGAAAACTGTAATTTGTTCCCCTCATTTAAAACCTAATAGCAGAGCATATTTTGTCCTTAGTTGACTGAAATGCGGAATCACGGTGGTTCTTCAGTAATGAGGATAACTTTGCGCTCTAACACCACCCACAGAATTCACCAAGTCTGGTAGCACCTCCAAGAAGGGTAACACCTGCACTATACTCACCAGTGAGGCCATGGTGAACCCAATGACTTCAATGTAGCCATCATCATGGCGCTGAGGCTCAAAGTCTCTGTGATCTCCAGGGTTTCCCCAGGGCATCGTGCCAGCACAATACCTACAGAAAGAGGTTTGGAAATCAAGCTTTGAGAAAGCAGTTTGCCCTGATGGGTCCTGACTAGTAGCCTGACTATTAGCCTGTTCTGCCGCCCTCCAGAATTATCCAGATATCCATTCCAGGATTCAATTCAAGGACAATTAAAATGTTATACTGTCAAGGACTGGACAAAAGGGAAAATCTGTTTAATTTCCAGGCTGGTATGCCATCCATGGATGCATCCATCATAATCTTTAGCAGGTTCCTTTGTGAAAGGAAAATACCACCTGGAAATACCAGAAAATAAGTAACAGTGCAGCTTATTCTCCCCACTTGCTTTGCTTTCTGCAGATGAGCTGTTGAGCCAGAAAGCTGCTTAGTCCCTCTGTTAGGCAGGCATGGGGCTGCAGTAGCAACTCCAGCCTTGGAGATCCATTCCTCTCTCCTGGCTGACTCAGAAGTTCTAACACATAAGGAATGCAAAACATTTCATAGCTTGAGGCAGCAGAGAGAAATAAGAAGCAGAAAGAGATACAGCTGTGGCATCAATCTTTCCTACAATTAAAGAACGGATGTAAAATGTCCTAAGAGTGATAGAAGGGGGAACTTTGGAAAGGTGACACCAAGAAGCAGCTTGCAGTGAGGGCAGTGCAGGACTCAAAAGATCAAGTCCTTGGGACTACATGTGGAGCAAAGCGGTAGTTTGTCTAAAGCAATGGTCTCCAAAGTGGGGCGCACGCACCACAGGGATTGTGCAAGAAAAATTCACAACTGACAAGACAGTTAAGGTGTGTGAAGAAGGTTTTGTTTGTACTTTTAATAAATAAGAAAACAAACATTAACATAGTCTTTCATTTTTATCACATCCTTTCTTAATTTCTATTTTTGTGTATGCTTTATAATGTAATATATTAGTACAGTAGTACATATATATCATTTATAAATAAATAAATATTATATATATTGGGGTGTTGCTCATTTTTTTACTGATAGGGATGCACAATCAAAAAAAGTTTGGAGACTACTGTTCTAGCGAGCAGGAGATAGACAACTTTTAAGAATACAGCTAAATTTCTATTTGGGACACCTTCCAACACATTAAAAAACAGCACTTCTTTCAATGGTTTGATCTATCTTTACTGGAAAAATCTTGATCCTTCCCCCCACCCTGCTCCCCATCCCTGCTACCCTATCGTGACCTCTTTTTTCATGCTCTACTTCTAATTAAGCAAAAGACCAGGCATCTGTGTCTTTACTATCTTATTTGCAGGTGAGATGCACAAATTTTGACAGCATGTTTGTTAATCAGTTCTATTACCTAATTGCTAATTAGTACCATATTGCAAATTAACAGTATTACAAGCACCTAGCTCTCAAGAAAGCAGCAGTGGCAATATAATTTCTGTACATTCACCCAGTCTAGGAAAACTTGTTTTGGTTGCCTTTTTTTTAATTATTATTTTTACTTTTCTTTCATAACTCCAAGTATCTGTCTTGAGCTTACCTGGGTATGTTTAAAAACACTATACACTGGAACTTCAGCTCCTGGATCTTTGGAGTCAGGTCTGTACCATCACACTACAAAGCCAAAGTGACAGAGCACAGAGAAATTGCTGAATGGAGCCACAGACAAGAGAAGTGTTGCTGCTTTGTAACAACTTTCCCAAGACTTTCCTTGGAATGTGTTGCAAATGTCATGCTCAAAACTGAAAAGTAACAGAGCCATTAAACTCTCACCTCACCCTCTCTCCATTCCCCCCTCTTCCCACGATACTATGACACAATTTCTTATACTTACCACAACTTTAACATGCTTGGATAAATCTCTTGAGCTTCTTTGCAGAAAATCTGTAAAGGCTGCCTGCAACAGAAATAAGTGCAGGAACTGTCATCAGCATTTCCTCTCTTCTCTTTCCTCATTTCTTATCCCACTACAGAGCTAATTACCAAAATGCCATCCTTTTGTCAAATGTATTTTCTTGCTCTCAGGAGATAGACCTTTTTTTTTTTTTTTTTATTATTATGATACTTCTCCTTTTGAGAGGTTACCCAGAGAAGGTCCTTGGGTACTCAAGGATTAAATGCAAATTCTTGCTCACATATTTGTTTCCCTGTTTAAGGCACATGGGTATGGTGTGAGTCATCACCCAGAAAGACATTATATGTCACGCATTGTCAAACTATTGTTTTTCTCAATAACTACATTTTAGGATGGAGTACTGTCCATGTACCTTCTGAATGCAGAAGTGGGCAATTTTATTTGTATATTCCCATCTAAAAATGAATCACTCAAAATAATTGATCTCTGCCCTCCACTCCCCATGACTCTACATCCAAGAGTATTTCTCAAACCTACAAGCCAACGCTTGGGGAATTTCTCTAGGAAAGTCAGTATCAGTGTGCTTCCCAAACCCTAAAAGAAGCAGAGCAGTTTGTTGAGAAGGTTGTGAACCAGAAGGGGAATCAAGACACGACCAGTACTATGTCCAAAGGAGTAGCATTTCTCTCACCTGCTAAGCTCTGTAAAACAACAGTGCTTCAGGCACTTTCCAACAGACACATATGTGTGGCATTACCAGAAACAGTACGTGTGCACTTTAAATTGCAACAGGCAAAATGAACTGGCATGAGCTCCTGATGTGAAAAAGTGAGGGGGAAAGTACTTCAGAAAACATTCAAACAACTAAGTTAGCATCATTCTGTAAGATGAATCACAACTCACCCCTGCATAAAACATTTTATTTCTAAATCGGCTGTTGAATTTCTCTGGATTTGCTTCTGTGAAAGGATAAAAAGGAAATATATGAACACCCTAATAAAAGTAGGCTCATAGTACCTTCACATTCCCTGCTAGCACTATAGTGCTTTTAGCACACATTACTCAAAACATAAATATTTTTTTTCTGTGTGGAGGTCCCCCATCTGTGTCATTATCTGATATCAGATTTCAAACATTGATACTGAATTCTTCCCCTTTCCTGGAGAGTGAAAAATAGATGGAAACATAAGCAAAGAGGTAAGAATACAATCAGTTAATTTAGCACCTCTTGGACTACCCATTTTATGATCCCTCAGTACCATTTGTGAGACTTCCATTTCTACCAATGCAGAACAGACCTCTAAGAATTATCAGAAACCCATGAAACGCTAACCCATGCTTTGAAGCAGGAGTAAAGCATTAGTAAATTACAAGATGAAACAGACATTTAAATTCCGATGTGTTACAAAGAGATACTGAGGAACAGATGTCTCTGTCCAAATATTCCTGCAAAGAAAAAAAGTGGTTACTCTAAAACATATTTAGAGACCTGTTTCATTTTGATTAGACTCCAAGAGACAAAGAATTTTAATGGGCCAGTAGTAATGCACATCTATAGTTAATTATTCTCACTTAAAATAAATGTGGGTTTTTTTCCTATCTTGAATTTTTCAGACTTCAACTGCCAACTGCTAAATCTTGTTATACTTCTCTGTCAGATTAAAGAGCCCTCAACTATCAGATATCTTCTCCTTGAGTAAATACTTATAGACAGTGATTAAATCGCCTCTTAACCTTTTTTTTCTGATAAACTAAATGGAGCTCCTTTAATCTCCCAGTATAAGACGTGTTTCCCAGAATACAGGTCATTCTTGTGCCTCCTTGAGAACTGCTTTCCTAGTCTGTGGCATCCCAAGATTTCTGCAGCAGCCCTTCTGACACTGTATTCTGTGGTAGTACCAGCCACCTACCCTTGCTCAGTGATTCTCTAGTGAACATCCAACTTTCAAGATAGTCCTTCTGGCTAAAGCATCACACTGGTGTGAACCCTTCCAAATTACTTCTTCTCAAATGACCACTTGAAACAATGCTTCTACTTCTCTTTGAAGTCACTACATCTAACAGTACAAGGCTCCATTTTGTAAAGAATGAGCTACTTCATGGTTTTTCTTTGACTGCTGAGCTACTGTGTTTTCCATTTGCTGTGTCGTGGGTGAGCCTGGAATGCAATCAGGGCCACCTCATCTTCAAACAATTAATTTAACTGCATAAGTAAATCTCATCTCACTCACTGAGCTGACAGCTCTTTACATCAAGTCTCAAAACCCCATGCTAAGAAGTGGGAGGCTCCTGAAGGCTCAGTGCCTGTGCTGCCCATTCTCTGATGTGGCTATGCCAAATAGCTCCAGAGCACTGGCTCTTACATAGCTCTTACAACAAATACTGACCAGAACCCAAGTCCCAGTTTTGAATAGAAAAGGAGCCTTTCTGAGATCAGGGACTCAGCATTCCGAACTGCTTCTACTTCTGATATAGCAGACAAGCATGGGTAAGGAGGAAAAACTCTTTCTGCAATGTGGAATAGAGCCTAAAATTGATTAGAGTGCAAGTTTGACTATAGAAGTATATCACTGACTTCATATTCAAGGCTCATTCCATCCTCACCATTCTCAAGCCACCAAGGGAGTAGGAAATGGACCATCTTAGACACTGTGTGTGGGGGTAGTGGGGGTGTTCTGCAAATGAGGTAAGATCAAACAGCATGTTCACAGGGATGAGGTAAATTGCTTCTTCCCTGCTTCACCAAAGCATAAGGATAACAAGGGAGGAAACTGGAAAGAGTCACTACCCAGAACACTTCCTGAAGACGCAGAGCTAGATACCCAGTCCTCAAGGCTCAATCTGAATAGACGCAAGAAAAGTATAGAAGTTGCCATGGAAAAGACCACATTCATGTACAGGTTCCTCTGAGACATCACAATCCTTGCTTCTTCTAAATATAACAGTTGATCAATCTCCATTACATAAAATGCCCCGATAGGCCAACAGTTCAATTTATTTTATTTTGATTTGGCAGGGGGCTGGGGCATGATGTATGTTTGTTTTAAAACTATATGTGATTACAACAGCCCCACATAAGCAACTGCATACAGTCACTTATCTTAATGGCCCAAGTGCTACCGTCATGAAAGTGCTTTAAGTTTTGTTAAAAGTACTGCTAAGAGTTTCTCTAAATTGTCATCAATTGTAAATGAGATCAGAATATGTCTGGCTCTGCTTAATTCATAGAATTATAGAATAGTTTGGGCTAGAAGGGATCTTTAAGGATCTTCTAAGTCCATTCTCCCTACAATGAGCAGGGACATCTTCAACTCAATCAGGTTGCTCAGAGCCCTGGCCTTGAATGTTTCCAGGGATAGGGCATCTGCCACCTCTCTGGTTCTAGCGTTTCACCACCCTCATTATAAAAAAATTTCTTCCTTGTATCTAGTCTAAATCTACCCTCTTTTAGTTTAAAACCATTACCTCTTGTCCCATCACAACAGACCCTACTAAAAAGTCTGTCCCCATCTTTATTATAAACTCACTTTAAGTATTGAAAGGCTGCAACAATGTCTCCCCAAAACTTTCTCTTCTCCAGGCTTAACCCCAATTCCACAGGAAAACCAAGAAAACCCACACACCAGCAACACCTCCAAAGATATAATCTTTTCTCTCCTAAATTACATAGGACTCTCTCTGTATATTTTAGCATTTGAGAAGGTAAGGAAGACACCAGCAGTAACAATTGTAAGAGCAAACACTTATGCTACAAAAAAGCTCTCCTGGACACACATACCCACTCACACAGAGCTTGCTCTGCCAAGTATTTTTTCACCCATGTAAATTTTTAAAACACTGGCCTATCTAGAATAACATACATTTTTTATAGGGCTCCATAATTTCATTATTAAATAATGCCTCCATTAAGTGAGAAAGTAGCCATGCATTTCATCTATACAGTATATTCACAGTCACATTAGCAATGCATAGTGATATGCATTCATTAAAAAATGCATACAGCTGTCATCATTTCATTCCTATGCCCTTTTGTGGCCCCTCATTATTATTCCTAAAGCTTGAAGCAGTCTTAAACATTATAAAATATGCATTAGCTCATTCCATCATGTATCCTGCTCTTTATTTAGCATGCCATTAGAGTCCTGTCTTTTCATCTTGAAATGACACTCTGATAGTATGAAACTGAAGATAAGGGAGGCTGTGATTCAGAAAAAATACCTGCACATGAAGCTGTAACGACCAAAAGCTGAACACAGACAACTGAACAAGGTTTGTTTATACAAGCATGCTTGGCTAAACTATATAAATAGAGCAGTTTACATCAGTCCAGAGCCCACTTGTTAAGGCACATTTGGATCTGTACGGGGTGGTATAACCGCCATCAGCAGGGGACAAACAAAATGTTACAACAGCTCAAATTCCTGACACACTTGTGGACATTAAAGCATTTCACTTTCATAAAGACACTTTGGGTCTGTACCAAGTCCAATGATACTATGCTATATTCATCCATAGGTAACAGCTGTTCAGTTTGAGAACACAATTAGCCTCCTGCTACTTCTACAGCCCCTACAGCTTTTCTCCTCCCTCCACCTCCACACTTGCACCTGACTTTCCTTTCTGCTCTTACTCTGACACTTCTGCATCAGCATAAACCTTCTTTATATCTGTACTTGGTATCTCCTTTATAAGATCAAAATCTTAAAAAAGCTCCCCTTTTAGCCCTTGTCCTCCAGTGAAAGCCATTTTTGATAGCCATTTTTCTTTGTACTTTTTTTTATTTTTAAATCATGAAGTCCCTTGGAAACTCAACTTCCTACTTACACATAGATTGGTTTCTGACATTCCAGCTTTCCTTCTGCATTATAAGAACAGGATGTTAATTAAATCCAACTCCATTTGTAACCCATAAAATAACTGCCCATTCCCAAGGCTAAGGAAATAAAAAGTTCCTATTACCTCTAGATTCATGGAACTCTAGTGTAACATGTGCATCAAATCCAAGGCTGAAGTAATTATTGAAGACACTGAGAGGAAGCTGTAATTGGATAATAAAGAGACATGTAAAAATAACACAAATGAAACTTTCCATGACACACCAGGAATTAACTACTTTAAACCTGGCATCTCATGAAAACCTATGAAGAAAAAAGTGGAATGTATCAGGGAAATGTATGCAGAAGGTTGCTTTAAAGGTTAGTAATGGCTTGTGGAAGATGATCAGATACAAAAGCCCAAGGAACACAAACATATCTACAGCGCTCCATGATCCTATATGTATCTCTGTAAACACAATAGGCTCCTTACGCTATCAGTGAGATTTCCCATAATGCTGCTCCACTTAACATGTAATACAGTGGTTTCCTAATTGCTGGCACTTCAAGCTCAGCATGGCAAATGAAACTCAAGCTGTGTTCTTCCTGCTTCATACATAACCAGGAGCAATGCAAGTCCCAGACATGAAGCCCTAAATCTATTGAGGATGCATGAGGCAGGGAAGAACACATCTGGCCTCCTCATCATTACACACACTCAGCAGGGTTTGTAGAGAGAGAACAGTAGCATCCAATAGATAAACTGGAAATGATAACTGAGAACAGGAAAATGTTTCACACAATCATTTTTATTTTTTTAAATGATTGTAATACTTTCAACATCTCCAGTCCAAATGACATATTACTATAAATGTGATCCCCTCAAATAAATGTTTTCCCACTCTTCGACTATCAAGATACCCTAATGGAGATTATATGGAGACCCACACACAAAGAAATTAAATACAAAAATACACTACACCTTGCTGTAAAGTAGGAAACAGTTGGAATCCATTAGAAAAATCTTAAGGAATAAAATTCTACATCCTGTTTTTAGTTTTGTCTAATTTAGGAATGGATGGTAGTCACAGGGTTGCTTCTCCTGCCACCCCAGGTTAACTAGAGGAAAAAAAAACAACGACCTTTCAGATAAAATAACAGGGATTTTTTCCAGGATTTAGTTCTTGAGATAAATGCTTAATGTCTGGGAGTTACAAGCAACAAATAAATTGCTGGCATGCATTATGTTTCACACACCTCTGGAAGCACTGGCAGATGACAAGAGCAAAAGGAGCAGATGCAAACAGAGAACTGAAGAGTTTTAGAGCTTCCTCACCCATGCAGTTTACGGTATAACCCAAAATATCCTATAGTCTCTATGGGAAAAAGAAAGCTCTAACCTTACGTGCCCCATCCTCCAGTTCATCCTGTGGCAAATCAGGATTGCGCTCAACCTGGAGATTCCAGCGGTCCAGCTGGACAATGGTCCCATCTTCTACATGGCACAGGATCTTGGACACTGGTTCATCTGTGTAACCCTGACAGCAGAGTTCCACCAGAGCATCAGCCATGGATAGTGAAAGCAAAGCAAGTCACTCACCAGCTACCTGGCAGACCTCCCTCCTTTCACACAGGCCTAAAATGCCAGATCTAATGTTCCTAAAAACACCTCAAAACATTGCTAAATTTTGATATATCAAACACATAAACAAGCTATTGCTGAGGTGCACAAGTCTTGTGCAGACAAAGTGAGGTCATAAGGAGAAGAACTCTATATTTGCCTTGCTTGGAATAACTCCAGTGGTATTGTCAATAGCAAATATAGAGAAATAAAGTTTAAACTATGCTTAAACTAGAAGTCTGAATATCCTCCTCATTACTTGGTCTGAAATACCAGGCAGATACATATACGTACACTTTTATTACAGCTACTACATCATTAGTAATTCAAGATCCCAGACTGGAAATTGAACCAAACTATTGTGCCTAACTGAAGTAGAGCTTGGACACATCCCTGATTGCTACTTTAGCCAAAATGAGGTTCCACCCTACACAGCTAAATCAGAGCGGCAAGTTGAGACCCACATGTAAGAGTACCCCAGTCAGTGCTTACCCCACCCCAGTTGAGGGTACGGGCAAGGTCATTCCCAGTGCCAAGCGGAAGGACAGCCACAGGAGGTGGGGGGCTGAGTTGCAGCTCATCAAGGATGGAGAGGATCCAGCCCACCTATAAAATGGGAAATGCAGAGAACTGATAGTCACAAAGATAAAAACGGATGGAAAAAAGAAAAAAGATGTATTTTGATCATATGCCTTTTACAGAGTAAAACAAAAGGGAGAAGAATGAGGATATCTGAAATTTAACCCTAGAACTGCCCCATCTGAGGTTTCACCTTTTGGAGAACAGGTACAGCAGTTTTGGAGAACAGGTACAGCAGTTTTCATTAAGTTCCTGTGCAAGCAGAAGCAATGGGATGTGAACACTGGTTATCTTTAACAGCACACAGAGATACCAAGGAAAGCAAGCACATAAGCTGCCATTCTTTAAGCAAGAAATGAAAACCCATAAGATTACACCTGGTATTATAAGGTAGCCTAGATATTGCTCTGAAAAATACTGTATATAAAAATGAGTGAAGAATAATATAGACAACTCCTTTTTTTTAAAATTGCTGTTATGCTAAAGGAAACTAAACCTTTGAGAGCTGTTATGAATGAAGATGCAAGAGACACATTAAAACAGCACGGTATCTCAGAGCATGTCCTGGAGTAGAGGGTCCAAATGAAGTCAAGCAGGGACTTGCTCACAGGTCTCCCATTACCCAGACAAGAGACCTTAGTGCTGAATTATTTCACTCAGTGCAAAGCATTTTACATATATATATATATATATATATATATATATATATATATATATATGTATGTATTCTAGTCACACTTATATAAAAGACTAGAATTAAAGAAACTCTAATGCTCAGTATTGAAGACTGGGTTGGAATGATGAATTTGGCTCTTTTGTATTGCAAGCTATTAGGTATTTTAGAGAGTCATTTCTCTCTCCTGTCCCTGTTCTGGACTATGTAAAATTTAAAATAGAAATCTAGCCAGAAAGAACAAATTACTGTAAAATTTCCAAGGGGGGAAAGAATTGTTGCTGAAGATGCCATCAAACTTTTTATGACTGAAATAGGACTATTTCTTAAACTATTTCTCACCTTTAAAAAAAAAAAAATTAATTCCAATCTTTGAAAGAACCTGTGCCACAATTTAAAATAAAGAAATAAGAAAAAATAAGCATAAGATAATAAAGTGTGATTTTTTTTTTTTTTTCCCTAAGGCCAGTGTTCAAAGATGCATCTCTACTGGAAATGTGAGTTTTTAAATAAGACAGAAAACTGAAATCCTAACTGCTCCTGGACAGGATTTTTTCTCTCCCAATTAATATTACTATGTTTTTAAATAGATTAGTAACCCAAACTGGGATGACACTGGAGCTTCACAAATGGTGCGCTGAATAACATGAATTGGGAACAACAGTTGGAATTTGAAGGACTGAAGAGGCAGTGGCCTGATAAAAACAGCAACCACCACACTATTCAGTATTCTACAGTTTGTCTTTCACCATGACTCTTGACAGATAGATTTCATTTTGTATAAATAGCATTCATCAGACAGCTACTTATCATAGCCAATTGTCCAATTATTAAAGCATTCATCTGGGATGTGCTCCTGTATGAGAGCTCATTGTCTGACAACAGTCATCTGAATCACAACTCAGGAACTTGGATGTCACCAAAGGTACTTAAATCTATCATAAATACCATGGTAGGACTACGAGTCCTTAAGGAATTTTCAGAGGTAGGTAAGCCTCTACCTTTCAAAATATCTAACCTTCAGTACTGATAACAGAAGACAGAATAAAAAGTTACCATAACTTCACTGGGGCCAGGACTTCTTAAAGTCCTTTATCATTACCACTGATTTAATCCATACATCTGTGCCTCAGCCTCAAACTGGTACAGGTAACATTACAATACCTACCGTTTTGTAAATGCTTTTAACTTATAAACAGAAACTTCAAATTACTAATTTGTATGTACAACATTGCTATTTAACTTGAGGTCATTTCTGACCCTTGTACAGTAGTTTTACAATCAAGGATGACACAGACTCATTTCCCTGTAAACAGAAAGCTCCTGACCACTTTGAAAACAAAGTTTTCCATTTATACCCTGGAAAGGAACAGCAAGCAGCAATGATGGAAAAGTTACAATAAGTTCTAATTCACCTCAGTAATGCAAGGTAACATCTGGTCTCATTGAATATTCACTAACTCCATTTGAGCCAGATTTTTCATTTCTAGATGGAATGGCTTTGGGAATAACTAGATATTAATTTGCTTCAAACTAAGCAGCAGCAAAGGTAATAGTGGAGTGCTGTTCATACTAATGAGAAGGTGCTGCCACCTGTCGCTTGCACTGCTCAAAGGGAAAACAGAGGATGGTCAGACTCAACAGTTGCAACTCATTCCTATTTTAACATTTTCAGGATGAAATATTTTTTCCCCTATTAAAAATCCTGGCTTCCTCAGATGGAAGAAAAAGACTTTCAGAAACAAGCAGAAACACTTCTTTGCAGCTTATGCCTCCTGCTAAAGCAATGCCTTGGACATTTCTCAAGGAAAGTTCAAAATGCAGTAAAAGAGATCTCTTATTTTCCCAGGTACCAGAAAGACAGCAGTCTTGCAGGAGAAGCACTAGCATTTATAACCCCCCTACGGCTGGGGTTTTAAAAGAAGCCACAAAATCAGAACAGAAAATTTCTCCCAGAAATTCCAGCAGAGATGGGTTAAGTGTTGGAGTTCAGCTCACTACACCATGCCCTAAACTTCTACATATATAACTATCCTGGCCAGTCATTACACCTTGCCATTACCCTCCTTCCTACTGTTACAACTATTATCAAAATCATATTTGGGGAACTGAGTTTCACAGATATTAAAGGTCAGTTTTTCAACTGTATTTAAGCATTCAGTGGCACAGACTGATATTTACAATATTCCTAAGTATGGAAAGAGTAATACAGTTGTAATACTTCTGTTATCCACTCAGGGCCTACAGACCCTGAACTGTAGAGCCTGTCTCCAACTGAAGGTGCCTAAATCTTTTCAAGATCTGACCCTATTTCCTTATCCAAGAACACACAGAAATTCAGTAGCAAAGACAGACACTGAACCTGGATCTGACAGATCCCAAGCTAGTAATATGACCAATGCAATATTCTTCCTCACAAATGCTTTGGAAAAAAAAAAAAAAAAGTGATGAAACTCACTTTCTTTAGGCACAGAGGAGTCCCTGTTAATGACTGTACTTGGACATCATGGAGGCAGGAAGATTTAATGGCTCCAAGATATTGACTTAACCTGCTAGACCCTAAGATCTATATAAATAGTGAGAGGAGATCAGCAAAGTTAAGTCTTTTTTTTTTTAAGCTGTACCAAATTTATATGCACAAAGCAGATAAGACCTTGGACATTAGTATCTGGCTCCACCACTATGCAAGCCAGGTCACACAGAAAACTTTTAATAAAATTAAAAAGGTGGATTTCACAAGCGTAAGGTACATTATCTGGCTCTGCAAGCATCACGAGATGGGAAACCCACAACTGCAAGGAATTTAATGACTTGGCTGATGACTGCAGGCCTGCCAGGCACCTACCGTCCCATCCCCACCACAGGCCAGGATCCGCAGGTTTGGCACTTTTCTGTACAGCTCCAGCCTGGCCAAGAGAGGGAAAGGAAAAAAATGGGGAAAAGTCAGAATAATAATGCAGACACTTTTTATGCATTTTGTAGTGTGACATAACCACTACTTACTGCATTTTCAAATATTCATTACTAAGGATGTGGGTGGAAGCGGGAAAAAAATTTAAAAATGTAATCTTGGTACTACCAAAACCCTTGGCAATGAAGAAGCATCAGCCCAGGCAGCCTCAGCCAGCATTAGCCCCAACTCAACCTGAGCCCTGTGGCTCACTTCACACCTTCATACACACACAAAACCACTAGGATGTGAAATGATGCCTTCCACCATGGTTAGGCAGCCCTCCTGAGGAGTATTTGATCAGTTTATCATGTTCCTAAGCTAAATCTGAAACACCAGATTCTCACGTTCCCTCTGAAGATGACAAAATCTTTCATTTTTCTACTATCTTAAAGCAAACAAATATAAACATTGAGTTTAAGCAAAATTTAGTGTTCCTCATCAGGATTTTCTGAGCCACCATTTCTGAGGCATGTAGAACATGACAATTTTTTCAAATGGTAATTACTTTTAACACCACAGAAGGTAAGGAAATCTAAGAGAGTTCTTTCTCTGAATATCTGATATAGGATAGGATACTAACAGTAGAGCCAAAAAAAGTATCCACTGAAGACCCGCTCCTTTAGTTGCATGAAAGAGAGCCATAATGAAATATCCTGTAATGAATGGGGTACATTCACAGGGAGAGAGCTGAGTGACCAAAGGACCTAATTCTCCTTTAACTTCATTACACATATTTGAAAACTGTATGGCTACCTTAAAGCTTCTATACATCATGAGAGGATCAGCAGTGGAGATATTTCTTCAGGGAAAAAAAAGCTTAGGTGCCTTGAATAGCAGATACCTGGACCATTCTTACACAGGTAATTTATTTGATTTCACATTACTATCTTTCTGTGCTACTTAACTTGTGAAAGTAGTGCTGAACTAAGTAAAGCAAGTATCCTCATCTCAACTACCACACAAGGATGGTCTCTCAACCTTTAGCAGAGAGGATCAACCCTTTAAAGACAGATCCTCCCTCCCTTGGAGGAGGCTCACACTTCAGCTGTTGCCCAGATAAGCTGAGCTAGTTACTCAGCAATCAGAGATATTTGCATGCTGCTGTCACATATGGAAATCTGGAGGCAGCCTCACCCCACCCACCATAACGCTCAGCCATTAGGGAATGGTCAGGCCCTGGGATCAGCAGTGAGTCTGTCTTGTAGCTACCTGGAACTGGCACTGTCTGACAAGGGGGCAGCTTCTGATCTCTCCTCACAGAAGCCACCACTGCAGCCCTACCCCTCACTACCAAAACCTGGATACATAAACCTCATACACCAAGCAGAACTTTGTCTGCTTTCCTGATCAGAAAGAATTATGGACCACAAAGTGCTGAAGTCTCAAGTACTTACGCATCTCTTGGCCCTTCCTGAGAGAGATCAAAGACCTGGCGTGGATTCAAATACCACATAAACATTTGGAGAACCTTGGTGCCCTGGAAAGGGAGAAAAATCAAAGGAAGGAAATTTTGAATCATTTAATTATTATTAGAAATGTTCATTATTCACTATATTTGGATGGCGTTTCTTTCTTCTGTGCTTTAGAAAGTAAACAAACCAAGAAAAAGGCAAACTAGAAAATGGCAAAGCAGATGACTGCTCCATAGAATAGCAACCCACCAATCTGGGCAGGGTGCATATGCATACATATAGACTGAATTTAACACCACAGATCACTAATGGTTCATAAGAACAGTCATTTGGGGTCAGATCAAAGGTACAGGTCCCACAGCAACCTGTTCTCCTGCCTCTCACCACCTGCAACAAGAAGAAACATCCATTATCCCACACCACCTTCAGTCATACATGACAGCAAGAAGTTGAACAGACTCATGGGCAAAGACACCATCATACTGAACAGTGTCCTGCCCACTATCCAAGCAATGATGCTGCTCCGACCTTCACCATCACCACCATGAACACTCATAACTGTAGCCCTCTACCATTTAATGAAGCAGGAGCCAAGGAATCTATAGCCTACAACCACCCCAGTCCTCCCTGAGTACAGTGTGGCCAGCCCATCACCTGAAGATACAGTTTCTGCTTTCTCAAACTCTTGGGTTCATATTCTAGACACTCTTAATTCCTTCCTTCATGTTCTACCCAGACACAAAGTGGCAGGATCTCTTGCTAGCAGAAGAAGGTTAAGAACCCTATGGGATAAACTTGTATCCAAAAGTAATTCAAGAATGCATTTCAGACATGGCCTGGGAGGTGCAAGTTAGGAATTTTCAATAGCTCCCACTTGTGAAGGATGGCTCTTCTGTCTGACACCTTCCCTTAAGTGGAGAACTAAGAATAGCAGTCAAAGTGCCTAGGAAAATGTATAAGAACAGAGAAAATAAATGGGATGTTTGCTGTAGGTATTTCCCAGCCTCAGCTATTTTCAATTCATAGAACTCTTGAGCTAGAGGAGGATACAGAACTTCAGTAACTTTCAGGGTTTTCTCTCTAAATCTCTCCTTCAGCCCATGTAAACTTTTAGCATCTGCAACATCCTATGGCAAGGAGTTTTAGAGCTGAACGCCATACTTACCGTAAGAAGGGCCGACTTTTTTCTTTGTTTTGAATCTCTCTTATCAGTTTCCTTTGATATCCTCCCTAATTCATCTAACGGAGGAGAAAGTGACAGTGGCTATGGTATTCTCCATGCTCTATAGGCCTCTGTTTGTATCTTTCAACAATCTTTTCCTTTCAACTAGAAACTCCTGTTTATCAAAAGGCACTCAAGATTATTTGATATTCAAAAAGTGGCAGAACTAATCTGAAAAACATGCACTTGGATAAGTTTTAATTGCAAGAACCCTAAGAAAAAAGTGTGCTGCATGTAAGTCACTAAAACTTAGTTCTCTGGTACAGTACAAGACCAGAAATTATTTTTAAATGTCATAAGAATGTGTCATTTCACATTCACTAATTGTACTAGACTTTCTTAGTAAAATTAATCAACTTTTTGGATAAAAAAAAAGAATCTTCATTGGCAATTCAGATTTCCTGCAGAAAGATTAAGCCTTCTGAAAACCTCCAAACTATCATTTTAGATTTCTTTCAAGAATCTGAAGATAGGAATACAACTACTCAAGTACTGAAGTATTCATTTCATCCATCCAATTCCACTGAAGTTGAAAGGGCATTCAACAGCAAGGACCTCTTCTGAGGACTGCAGTGGGGCATAGAGTTCTTCCTATCTGACTGACCAAGAACTAGTCTCATTTGCAGAAACACTGTTGTTAAACTACAGCTTTGTGACCTGGATCCAGATGGAAAACAGATGATGTTCTTACCTGATTTCCTCCACTTTTTGGATTGACAAAAACCAGCAGTGGCTTCATGAGTGGAGAGGAGATAGGCTTTATCACAAATGGCCGACCTTTGTTATCCTGAGGATCAGAAACAAGAAACAGCTTTAGAATAGGCTACGTATGTTTCCCTGGCCTAACATGTGCAGGAGACCCAACCTAGCTCTGACAAAACTACCTCAGGTACTGGAAATAGTACAGCCATGTTCATGTGGTACTCTCCTGAGACTAATTTATTCAAATGAGACAATGAAGTAAGAAAATAATAGGGAGGGAAAAATCACTCCAGGCCAACACAAAACTATTTTGAAATTTTACTCAATATTATTTCCACAAAAAGCAATTATTCACACCATGCTCATGTGTCAGATAAAGTGCTATTTCTAATATGAACACTTTTTCAATGGAAAATAGAATGACATAAGCTACTTATTTCATTTACAAGACAAGTTGTATCAGCACTTATTTGCACTTATTTGCAGATGATCTGTTTCTGAATTCTTGGCCTTGCTGCCCTCCCACCTTTGAACAAATGCCACATGTCAATGAGAAAAATATTTGCCTCCCTACCCCTGCAGGACACCAGAGACCCCAGTAGTGAGGGCACTCTCCTGGGCTGTGGAAGACACAGCTTCAAATTTCTGGTCTGCAGTTCTCTTACCACCCAAGCAAGGACCTTAACCAGAGAGCCTTGGCTAGGCAGAGGTAAGCCTCCCTCCACCTCTCCCATGAGGCTGTTATCCCTCTGTATAACTAATCCACTAGTCAGTATCTGGAAACAATGTCTTCTATAAGTTGCATGGTAAATCAAACCATCAGATCATTCAATCCGTTTTCTCTCTCTCTCTTTGTGGCCCAATGTCAATGTTCATACAAACAGAATATTTCTAATACAAGATCTCCAGAGGGAGACACCCTCAAACAGGACCAGACCCTTGCATCAGTGCATTCACCATGGATTTCACAACCCCAGTTTCACACTCCTGCTCTGCCTAGTGCAAACCAAGGGTCTGAGCTGAGTCTCTTACATCCCAAGGGAATGCTGTTTTGTTAGGCTGCTGGTCCTTCTGGAGTCTGGTATGTTGTTTCTTGAAAAAAAACAACTCGGCAAATAAAACTTCTCATACGGGTTTTATCAAAACTGATCTCTCCTCACAACAAATTCAATAGCATGGAATTTTCCAGTGGAAAAAAATATATTAAACACTGTAGTAAAACAATTAAACTTTAAATTCTGCATTTAGACATTTAAACAAAGGGAGCCTGATTTCCAAAGCACTTTAATACCTACTTCATTGCCTCTTTTGCTGGCTTTTCTTTTAAAAGACGTTCTCTTCTTTCGCCGTGTTGAAGTCTTTAATGAGTTCTACATCAAAAGAAAAAAGAATACATGAAAAGCAAAACAAAATTTAGAAGACAGGCCCAGACAGAGCCCCTTTACGAAGCTCTTCCATGCATGTCCACTTGGAGAATGATAAGAGTATCTGGCACATGCTTGAGATTTAAATTACATGCGCTGCATGCTTTACACTTCCACACCACCGTTTATGGAGAAAGCCACACACGGAGACCAGACTGGTGCTTTGGAACTGGAAACTTTCCCACGCTGTGAGGGGGGAAAAAGATCAGATGCTCCCATAGACTCACATAACACCACATGTTGTACCTGCCAACCCTCCCAATAGGGGTAGGAGACGCCCATTTCCCCTTCGGGGCTCCAGTCTCCTGCCCAATCAGGCTCGTCTCCTGGTATGGAGACCACCTGCATAAAGATGTAATAAAAAACATGATAAATGAGATATTTTTCATGTTTTTTTTAGGAAAGAAAACAACAAGTTTTAGCTCTGGCAACCATTATGACTCAACATAACGTAGGCCACCATGGCGAATGATGCTGGCACTGTGGACTCAGTTCCAGCCTATCAAGAAACTTGTGTGTTCATCTACTAAGGAACAAACTGAACTGCTAAAATTTAAGTATTTGTGTGAGGGAGGTGTTTGTGAGGGTTTTTTTTACTTTGTTTTTAAATAACAGTATCATTTAACTACATAGAAAAAAATATAAAACCTCTTGTATTTTTGCAGAACTTACTAAAATAGAACTTGCATCAGAGATATTCTCCAGACTGGCAATAGCCTGCTCAGCGATACTAAACCAAAAATTGTTCTAGTGTGGTAAGAACAGTCCTAGAAGGGGAATTTTATTTATTTTTTAATTATTTTAATTCAGTAACTGAAGTCATACCCGCAGGAAACCCTAATCCCTTCCATGTGATTGAAATTTTGTATTATAGGAAATACTGTAAATATTTTTGCAGTATTTCATCTTCCAGTCTAGCCATCTCCAGGAAATAAAGTAACACAGGAATTAGAAGAAAGTTTATTGATTATTTTCTGGCTTCAAGAGGGGAAGCAAGATCCACTCAGCTCATCCAAAAGTTCATTTCTGCCCTGACCTTATTCAAAAGAGCACCACTAATGGAAAAAGTCAATGAGCAGAGATCATCAAATCCATAAGCAGTGACATCTGTCCGTAATCCTGCTTGCTAACCAACGTTAACAAGCATAGCTACTAGATTCTGCTTAACACCTAACAACCACTGCCAGAATTTCAAGACTTCAGTACAACACATGAGACACAGAAGTTAATGTTTCCATATATCTAAGAAGTTAAGAAAACGTAACAGCTATCTAGCTCAAATACCTGAAGACACCATCCTTTTTCACCCAGACCAGGAGAAGCCTGATGCAGACCACAAGGTTCCCAGCTTTTTGTCACCTCTCAACATTCCTTGTGGACCAGGTTATAGTCATGCCTTGTTGCTTACTGAAAATACTGAAGACAAGACAGCTCTGTAGAGCAATTACAGGACACTTGCCCTTTTAGACCATACTTTGAGAAACCACCTAAAAAAGTGTTTGTACTTTGATCACTGATACAAAGTGATCTCGAAAGCATGAGAAACCACAAAGACTGCACTGACTACAGAAGTGCATCAGCAATATCATCTGCATGGTGTTTCATCGCCCTACCTCAGTATTCAGATTGACTATAGACAAAAGACTTTACGTCAATAGAAAGGTAGAGGACATTACTCTCAAAGCTGACTCTCATGGGGGCATTAGCCTAGTTCCTCAGCCATTCTTTGAAGAAGGATTCTCCTTGGAGCAGGGCATAACACAGGACAGAGAGAGGAGATCTAGTCAATCCACAGTCTTGCCAGCAGTTCACTGAAAGGTCAGGGGCATATCAAGCCTTCTCCCTGTGCTTCAGTCTCTCCAAGAGTAAAATTTAAAATATTTATCCTGCTCGTTAAGTGCAGTGAATTCACCTGGCAAGTATTAGTCTTTAACCCAAGTTAGGTATTATACCAGGCAAGTACTTAACTGTATCTCTGGAAGAAACACTGTACTTGTTATTCTACCTCCACCATGGGTGGACCCAAGCTCAGTGAAGTTCTTCTGGAAAGGGCAAAGACAGTTCAGTAAAATCCTTATTAATTTTAAAAGAATAATTTAAAGAATGTTTAAGTGTAGTTGTCATTAAATCCCATTATAACTTATGTCTTTCCTTGCCTATGGGGGGTGGGGTGGAAGAGTCATACAGCTATATTAGAGAAACTGTTTTAGTCTAAGCCTCTATTCACGATTATAACAATTTTTGTTTCCACACTCAAGAAAAGGCACTACAATATGCTATGTCAAAACTATGTTATTTTACCTTTTTTTTTAAATATGCTTTCACCTGCAGTGTTATGACAACCTACAGCTTTGCTTTAATGATTGCAACCGCATGTACACATCAGATGAAAGGCAAAAAAACTCCTTAACCATATACAGGTTATGTAGAAACATGCAGAAGAATAACAGCCAAGAGTAATCATCAATCCTTGTACACTGAAGTGAAGAAATGGATGCATATTCCCTTGTCCACCTAACAAGGTGATGAGTATTTTACAAATATATAATGTTATTCAGCAAAGTACCTGATAACAAAGCATACCTTTAAATGGGCACCATATGTAAATCCTAACTTGCCTCAAGAGAGAAAACTCTCCTTTGTGGATGTCAGTTTGACCATCTTCAAAAATAAATTTTTCATATTATTGAATGGTCAGTATTTCTCAGTGAGCTTAGCTAGATGAATAAAAGAATTGGAGTCCTTGTATGGTGTCAGGTGGCATGAGGGCCACAATCTCAAAAGCAAATCCAATGGACCCTTTCAACATTTTCACTTCAGCCTTCATTTTCAAAGGCTTTTAGCATGCTGGACTCCAAATGATTTAAATAATGAACAGCCTCTGGGAAGGTCAATCTTGACCATCTTCCGGTTGTTCAAAAACCACTATCAGACAAGCCAGCTGAACTCAGCAATTGAGGAAATAAAGAAATAAACCCAGAAATATAAATATTCACTAACACTTTTAAAAGATCCTCAAAGAAGGAGAAGAAAACACCATGTTTACTCACCTTGAAAAGAAAAAATTGGAATATTACAGTTATTGCCTTTGCCTTCCCAAACAGAAGACAGACTGAATCAGTAGGTATATCAGCCAGATCCTCCTTATTATCTACTTTCCTCTCACAACATAAGCATATATCAAGTCCATTGCTAGAGCTAACACGATTTGGACTACCAAACCTCACCTATAACAAAACACCAACAGTCAACAGGGATGACCTACTTTCATCACAACCTAGGAGATGGAATTGATTTAAACCCCAGGAAACAGAGCTGGTATCACAGTGCTGGAAGCACTAGAAATCCATAAAGAAGTTACAGAAGTGGCTCACATGAATAACATGGATAGGTATTGGGAGTTTTCCATTCATGTAAATGGGTCATTACATATAGGGCTACCACCGATCCCAAAGCGATTTCAACCATTCTGAATATTCCTCATCTTGCAATCAATTGCTTGCAAGAAGCAAAAGCTCCCCATTTAGAATGTAGGTTGTCAACAGAGATTTGTCCTTAACCAATTACACCATGAAGCTTCACTACAACATTGCTGGTAATCAGAGGGGGAGTGTGCTCTTTATTCAAGCCCAATATTTGATAGGTGGTGACCCACGTTGTACAAAATAAGCATGGAAAACCATTTTTTGTAGCAATAAAAATAAAAATTAAAAGTTAGGGCAAGATTTTGCTACAAAAAAGCCATCTTATTTGCTTAAAAGAAACAACCAAACAGGATGAAGGCACCAGTAAAATTAATTTCATATGAGTAGGGAATTCAGTTCAGGAGTTGCCTGTGACCAATGTAAGTAGTTAATTAGAGCTGAGGAAATATTTTACAACAAAAAGGCTTCTAGCCAAATTTATTCCGGTTGTGGAATATGTGAAAAACAGACTGCTGGTTACACATTTATTTACTATCTGAATTTACAAAATTTTGTGAATATTGTGTTTGTATTCTGTGGATTGAATGCACTGAAGAGTTCATAGTGTTTACCAAATGTTCGTATAGGGTGAAGAGGGTTATAATGCACAGAAGTAGAGCTGGCCAGAAACAGCAGGAGAGGAGAAAATAGTTCCTAAAAAAATAATAAATAACAAGCCTTGTGCCAAAAATCTGAAAACACATCTGAAAGATGCGTTAGTATTTTCTACAGCAATAAGGATTCATTCCCCAGAACTAATAGCGCAATGGGTGCTGTTAAGAAGTTTCATGGAAATATGCCCATATTTCTTTCTGATTAGCTAGATCAAAATATCATTTTGATCTAGCTAATGCTTCAATTACTCAAGATAGGTTTGGGGGTTTTTTTCATGCTACTGACCATGAATTTCAAGGACTCAAGATGTGATGGAGAGGGAATATTGCATTGAAGTACTTCCTCTCCACTCATGACTCAGGCACACAAAGCGACATTTTAAATCTTTATTTAAAAGCATTTTTCCCTTGAATTCTAATTAACTAGATCAGATTTTTTTTTTATTGGCACTTTTCTGAAAAAAATAACAGACAAGAAAGAAAATTCTCTGAAAATATTATAAGGAAGGTATCCTGCTTTGGTCAAATGACAAATCAAAATAAAATTACAACTGTTGATTACTTTTTTTACTAAATAGAATAAAAGTTAAAAAGATTGAAGAAAGGCTGCTTTTAGTAAGGTCAGACATGGATACATCTATCAAGTATGACATGGGTGCTGAAAATTAGCCAAGGAGATTAAGTACCTGTCAAGGACTCAGATTCTTCAAAAAGAGAGGAAAAGAGATTCTTCTGGGGGAGGGTGGAGTAAAACTAACAGAGAAAGAAGAGTGTGGGGAGAAAATACAAATGCCAAAGAAACCTTATTTCTTCATAATGGAGGTGGCTAGCGATCTTGCCTACTCTCTCTGGACCTAAAGGAGAAATAGCAGTCTCCTTGGACAACTTTGATTAAGCTATACATATATTTCCCCTTCCCACCTTGTCTTTAATATCCAGCTTATTAGAAATGCTATTCATGCAAAAATCTGACAGTCATATACCTAGAAGGGAACTAAAAACTGAACAGCATCACAACTTAAGACTTTTTTCCAGTTTTATGGGACTAATTTTGTCTTGCTACCTTGCCCACAGTCTAAACTTCTCAGCTTCTTGTTGACAAGCAGGACACAAAGCCAGAAAGCCCAGGGTCAATTCCCAAGGATGGACACACTAACATTAAGAAAGACACATCACTACTCTATAAAACCAGCATTCCTGTCAATGGAGGAAACAAGAAAACATGAGTGGGAAGTTCAAATATCCCAGAGACTATTCATTTCAGAAGAAAACAAACCAACTTGTTTCAGTGCTTGTGAAATAAAACTTTTACCAGCATTTCTGACTCCCTGATATGTTCAGTGTTTGTTTGTCTGTTCAACCTGGAGTGACAACAGACTTTTAAAGAAAAAAATATTTCTTGCATGATGTGAATCCCCTTTTAATTTTTGGCCAGCTCTCTTTTGGATACCTTTTCTCCCTATTGTGTTCACCAGTGAATTATCCTCTCCAAGACGTATCACATCCATTACAATAGCTCTGAAGTCTAATGTTTGTTACCTGCAACTAAATGAGCACATGGGCTTATTGCGGACATTCAACAAGCACAGATGTAAATAAGATGCGATTGTTTAAATGTCCATTGACAGAAAATTCCGAAGGATGCCAGCCCAACTACAGCAAATTCTTCAAGTGAATGTTTGCGAACAGTTTTTCCCTGTATTTGCTCAGCTCTATTTAATGAAACATGCTTGACTGCCTGCAACACAGGGGATTTCTTTCAGTATGCTCACTGAACTCACAGTTAGAGGAACAAATCTGAGCTGGATTTGCTCAGAACAGAAGTCAGGGTTGCTGCTAATCATCCCAAACAGGGAAATCTACTAAAGGGCTGGATGGAGGTGCGGGAGAATACAGGTTCATAATCACCATGGATGTATGCTGGGTTTCAGGGATAGAAAAGGGTTGAACAAGCATGCCTTAGTGAAGGAGTACCGAGTGGCGAAGCCAGGTTGGCCCTGTGCAGCCATACAGCTCCAGAAACAGACATCAGCATGCAGTTACCTGAGGTTTCTTCACCTTAATGATCCAGGTGGGAGGCACAATGACAGCAGCGTGAGCCCCCAGGGAACATGGCTCCTCAATGTGATGTAGCATGAAACAGGTGACTTTGTTATGAAACTGGAAGAGAAGAAAAGAGTCAATAAGGAGATCAAGACAGACAAAGGGGAGGCATAGAGAGGAGCAAGAGGGCGATGGTACAAAAACTGGAGCAATGTTCCCAACTCCACCATCTTCAAGTTCTTCAAATCATGGAGTTTTAGGAACATATAACTAAAGATCATCCTGTCTAGCCACGCCTTCTTACCGAAACAACAACCCAAAACCAAAAAAGCCCAATCACTCCTACTTAAACACAGATCGCAAACTGAAGACCACAACCTAGTCTGATGCAGCTGTGTGTATTAAGAGCCCTTTGGCTGAGCTGGCAGCGATGGGAGGTAGCCAGTGACTACGTTGTGCAGCAAGAATCTCCTCTTCTCCTAGAGGACTCATGTCAGTCAGTTATAGTGTCATTAAGCAAAATTAACAGAAATGGCAAAAGAGGGGGGATTCACAGAGAGTGAACCCTACGAGCCAGGAAACACGAAATTGCTTTCAGTATGGCCACTCAATGAAGCTGCCACCAGTCTCCCTGAGTATTGTTCACTTACCGCCAGCTTGCACCAGGAACAACTGATGGCCACAATCTCTTTGCTATGGAAGGAGAATTTTTGCTGAAAGCCCTAGAACAAGCAGGAAAAAACACCATTAAATTCCTCCTGGCTACAAGCAAATTTACACCCTTAACTCTTGCCAGGTGACTGTGCTAGGCTAAATCAGTTCACTGAAGTCAGATACATTGGTTCAGCCTCAAAGCTCTTAAACACCAAACAGATTTTTGGAAGATAAAATAATGACAGGATTAACAGAGAAGGTTCTTCAACTGGGGAATTCTCACACACATTTCTAAAAACACTTCTCCAAAATTTTATGCTTTTTCTTAGATTTTGCAGTTAGAAACAACCAAAGAAGAAATAAAGAAGAAATGCCTATTTTAATGGATTTCTACAGATCTAACATTCAGGTTTTCTGTTAAACAAAACATTCCCTCATTGCAGTCTTGTTTGCTCTAAATATAAACATGAATTTTAGTTGTTTTTGGTTGGTTTTTTTTAATACAGAGTTGAATCAACTACAATGTCTGTGTGGAAAAGTTCTGATAGGGAAATTAAGTTTATTGTTTTGTTGAGCCAACTCAGACCAAAATCTTTTTAGTAAGTTTCAAAAAAACAAGATGGCCTGATTCAGATCAGATAGAAAAAAGAAAATATTTCTTTGTAGTTTTAAAAAGTGCCCACCATTAGCACGAAATATGAGATTTTACTCTCTCACAGAAGACTTTAATTTTGTAAAAATGCAATTTCAGCAGGTATATCACTTTGCTCTGAATTCCAAGGCTGAAAAAGCCCATTAGGTCATATACACCCTTCTGGCATATAACACAGTCAATAAAGGGTAAGTTAAAGTTACAGGCTAAAAATTTGTGTTCAGTTAAAGCTTATTTTCACTAGAGAAAGAATTGATGTGGGTTGATGGCTGCAGAGATGGAAAATCCAGAACTTCACTGAAAAGTTTGTCATAGTCACCTTCATTGCTTAGATTTGAGATTTGCAGTCATCCGGATCCTTTATTCATTAGCTTCTGTCAAGTCTCTCCCTAATACACTGAGTGGCCCGTTACAGCCCAGAATCTTCTCATTCGGTTTCTCTATCAAGTCATGAATTTGTGAGCCAGTTTTATTTTCAGCAAACTGAGTTTTACCTACATCTCCTACATGCTGGGCAATGCCCAAGACCCAGTGCAAAGAGTTATAATCTGATTTAGTAACATCCAACAGGACACTACACCTCACTGTTTCTATAATCAAGGTACTTTTTACCCTAACTGCTGTTGAAAGGAACAGGAAGATGGACACCCACAGGAAAAATGAGCCTATTAGTGCTCAGTGCAATGACCATGTCAAGCACACCAAGAAGGAGAATTAAACAAACAACCAAGAGCCCATCCAGAGATGCAGTGGTCTTGTTAAGTGAGGGACTGAGCTACAGCCTGTCCATACCTGGTAGTTGAGGACAACCCTACTGATACCCTGAAGAGAAGGCTCTACCTGTCTGTCTGCCATGCAGAAGTGCACACTGCAGTTGCTTCTTCAGGTGTCCTCAACACGTATTCAAGCCAGCTTGCCAGATGGACTATACCACCAAAGCCTACTCCTAAAGAGTCTTGTGACATCTCTGCCTAGATTATTATTTTTTTTAAAATCCTTTCCCTAATACCTCAGGGTTCACATTCAGAGAAATTCAGAGTAGGTTATTCATAATGATGGTGATTTGGCATATTCAGATTTCGTAATAGAGCATGGACAAATGGCTTCACAAAGACAAGCTGGCTAGCTGCTTCTTGCTGGGCAGGTCTAGTCTGCCATTCAGTGGGGGCACAAGAACACAGTGACAGCACATATGATACAAGTGCTGGAACAGAGGTCTGACACTGGAAAAAAACCTTCTATTCTCATTCGCTTTAGTAGTGCTTCTTGATGTTTCTCACAAATCTCACTCTTTCGTGTTGCAAAGTGTATTTAAAAAATTATTTCAGCCCCTCATGGGCCTGGAATGTTTTGTTTTGTTCTGCTTTGTAACAATCATGGGAGAAATTCCTCTCTCCCAAAACCTCAACTAATAAAATCTAAAATTCAGTACATTAACTCCACAGCCCATCAGTTGCGTATTTTAAACATATGGACTGAGCAGCTTGTCTGGTTCTGGATGGACCGTTTTTCATTTATTTAGTAAGCCATTTAGCTTTTAGGGAGTCATTAGAGAAAATGATACAACAATAAAAACATATTAATGTTAAGTAGCAATAAACCACCACTTTTCTTCCCCAAATTGCTCTACAAATGTGAGCTAATTCCTCCTAAGGATACATGTTTGAGGTAAGATAGGAATTATTTGAAAGCTAACATTACAAATAGAGGAACTGATAAAGTGATACACTGCAGGTCACAGTGAGATTTGATGGGGACTATCGGATTGAAACACTGGAGACCCCCATATTCCAACAGAAATCATCTCTTCTGTCTTTTCTCAGTGAGAAGGAAAATTAAATTTCAGCTATCTTGTTCCTGGGTCACGCAAGATGGTCTTCTGCACAAATTTAGAAATTTTGTGATAGAAAATTAATTTCACCTTTGTGAGAATATCAGCCTAACAGTACCTGATCAGCCCTGGTTCACTGGCACCCAATTCCTGTACAACACATGAAATCTCATGGTGTGAGCTGCTCCTGAAGAAATAAACAGTTTTGCATACCAGAGGAAATATATTTGGAGGCAAAAAGCACCTGAATCCCCAGCCTGTATTGGTGATTACAATCTGTCTAAGTAATCTGGATCAAAGTCCACATTATAATAGAGACACACACACACACACACACACACACACAAACAGAGCATGTAGCAATTATTAGCTTTAATATGTTTTGATTATATTCTCAAGTGTGTTTATCATTAAAGAGTGTTTTCACATCAATGTTAGGGCTACTAATAATCTTTCTTTGCATGTATTCCCTTTTTAATGCTCTCAAAGATATTTCAAACACATTACTGTAGGAAAGCCAGGTATTATTACAGCTTAAATACAGACAACAACAAAGGCATTTGGATGGTGATCTCTGCTAAAATAACAAAGAACTAGAACTGCCTTTCAGGTACTAGAAATTTCAATCCTACCATTATATGCAGAGAAAACATACAGCTCTGCATCAATCCACAGGCCTTTAAAGGGACCAGTAACTGAAAGAGATAAACACCACAGCTGCACACTGTGTGTATAGCAGACACACTGCTTTGGACACCTCAGAAAGTAAAAAGAAATAAAATGTCTGTTTAGCATGATGGCCCAAGGTGCATTCTCAGCCTCAAAAAATCCCTAAGCCATTGGTAACTGGAACTATACGAAAAACAGATCACTTCATATTCATCCTTAAGCTCCTATTACTGCACAGTCGTGAACTGGATGCCAGACCACACAGTCTTAACATTCTAATGTTGTATTACACAAAGCCAAAAAAAATCCTATTTCTCTGATGATCCCAGGTAACAAACAGCTAATAAGAGCTAAAAGTTACAAAACTACTTTTTTTTCCCCCACCTGCAAGAAAAAGAAATGAGTTCTTAAACATCACGAATGGTGTAGAGTATGTAGTTTGGAAGCGTTTAGTTACCATCCCTTCCAACACAAGAGCTACAGAGCATTAGAAAAAAAAAACAGTGACAGGTCTGAAACAACCAAATTGTAGTTCTCACAGCATGTAGTTAAATTTGGGAATTACTTGCTAAAGGATGTTATAAATGCTACAACTTTACAGGAACTCAAGGATCAACTACACAAGATGACAGGAAAGAAAGTTATCATGGGCTGTTAAATACAAAGGCACCATTCCTGGAAATTCACGAGACAAAAATTCTTAGAGGCCAGGAGACTGTTTGGGGGATGCATCACTAAACACCTGCCCTATCTTATACTTTTCCATAATAAGTCACTGTTGAATACTGGGCTCAATGGTACTTTGTCTTAAGAGATACGGCCATCCTTCTCTTAGAGTCCCCAGCAAAAAAATAAGATAAAAAAAGAGAATCATGACAGTAAATAGACAGAAATAGATTGGTTGGGTCCACTGCACTCAGTAAGATTCTGAACAAGACTTTCCAGGCCCCCTTCACTGGCACCGATTTCTGCATATAATACTTTTGCAGTAGATGGGTGAAATCACCCCTGGAAGGAAGAAAACTGAAGCCTGGATGAGACTGTATAAGCTGTATTTGTGCTACTAAGAAACTTGTAACAGTGGGAGCACAGGCTCTGTTGGTACTGAGGACACTGCACACAAGGGTTTTCCAAGAATTTTACTCTGGACTAGTTGCAGTCCGGTCCTGCAGACTGAATGGCCATTAGTAGCTGCAGAATTATTTTTCAATTAAGTTTAATCTAAAAGGAATTCAGTTAATTTGCTGCAAGACTGTCTGTCCTGGTTCAGCTAGGATAGGGTTAAGTTTCCCCAGCAGTGGGGAGGGAGCTCCAGCTGGGTTATTTGATATCATGCTGATGTCAGGTCCCATTGTGTGTGTGGCTTTTGTCCCGGAGAGTACCCGCGATGGGGCTGCTCTATCTTGTTGGGATCTCTCTATATATCTTTTGTCCTGTTTACTGTTATTACTGCTTTTTGTTATTGCTATTGCTGTTGTTCGGTTTATTATTTGTTACACTGTTGTATTCAATTTTTCCTTATCTCCGCCCTGGGGTTTGTATCTCACTCCCTGCCCCGTCCGGTTCGAGGGTGGGGAGGGACAACAGCGGCGTGGTCTCAGATCCCAACAGGGCCTAAATCACCGCACTGTCCCATGCATGAACCCTGCAAGTTGTGACAGTCAGGAAAGCTCCTTCCAAGCTGCCCTTCTGATCTAAAGCAGAACACTGACATAGGCACCTCTGGGCTTCACCTCTCTGGAAGCGTCAGCTGTGGCACACAAGGCACACAAAATATAAAGCCACAAATCCACGTAAGGATATTGGGAGTTTTAATTCCTTTCCACTAGCTTATGACATGAAGCATGAGATGGGCATATCCTAAATATTTTATTTACTCAAACTGTTATCAATTATCATCAAATTACTTAACCATCCAGTTCTAGCCATGGGATAGGATCAATATTACACAACAATGAGATCTACCGGAATCACTAGGTATTGCATGAATAATACTTTTTTTTTAAATTGCTTTAAATTTACTGCCATTCCATTTCAATGGTGGTTCTCTTTATATTCTCTGGTCATGCAAGAAAAAAGATGGCTTTCACTTGGAGGTATGTGACATGTAACAGCAGAGCATGAGACAGACAAGTATTTTTGCTGTAATAGGGGACTGCTTGGCCAATAAACACAATGGAATTAATTTGCTTGTTATTATTTTCCCCTAATCCTTTCCATTCCTTGGCAAACAACTCTACTACAATACACCCATGCTAGTCTTAACTGAATATTTCTTATTTAGGGGGAAAACTGATTTCCTCTGAACTTCTTCATATCAGTCTGGGCTGATAGGAATTTTAGGATGGACTGGTCATGTTGCTGACATGAATGTACCCAGCACAGGTTTTGATTTGATAGGCAGTAAGTAATCCCGTTTCAAAATCAACTCCTAACGACTCGAGGGGAGGATCCAGGCATGGTAGATGCCAAAATGGTAGAGAAGGAAGGCAATATCATTGTGAAGTCATACTGTAAGAATGCTCTATGCAAACTGCCTTGCTGCACTGTTCCCGTGCTACCTGCTATAAAAGGGCATCACATTTTTATTGCATGCCTTGTTGAGCTGGTAGCCGGTGATCTACATCAGTATCCAGATACAAATCTGATTTTCCTCTGACTTAAGTGCTGTGCCATGGAGACAAGGCACAGTCTTTCTTAAGAGTTGATGCTGAGGGAAGCAAAAGTATAATATAGTACTAGAGATAGGAAATTAAACCCCTGTGTTAATTTAATTTTTAAATATCTCTCAACAGATTTCAGGGGATCATAACATTTCAGAAGAAAGGTCTTCAGTAGCTAAAGGTCCTTCTTACCTGTTTTTATAGCTTTTCGGAAATAAACTTTTGCAATCTATGCAGCAGTGGAAATGTGAAACAGACTCACAAATCTTAGAGTCTGCCAGGGTAGAAAGCAAGCAACAGAAGCCTGAAAAAATAGGCCATCACAATTTTGGCACAGAAGACAGCACTAGAAGAATGCCATATTGGCACAGGTTTAGCTTAACGAAGAAAGAAGCTCAAGGAGCCACAGCCTTCCTCCTCCTCATTTTCAGCAGTCAGTGCAGCACAATGTCCCAGGACACGTGATGTGCTCATTCCTGCATGTACATCTGCCTTTCTCTTCCCACATGGATATCAGAGCTGCTACCACTCAACATATCAGGCTTGTCCTCAGCCCTTAAGAGAGCCCAAGTGTTTAGAATAGGAAAATTTCAGTGACCAGAAGGACCTCCTGGCTACCCTGAATTCATAAGAGCCCAGTGCTGTACTTGTGGTGCACTGGAAATCTTACCTTTCCACACTGCTTACATTTCCCCTCCTGCCTCCGCCTGTGCACCCAGTGATGTCGGACAAAGTTCTGCAAAAGGAGGACAAAGAAATATGTTATAGAAGGTAATGCCAGCTTGCACTCAGCGGTACCATCTGTGTGAAATTGGTTTACAGACACCAAATGAAAGGTCCCTTCAGCCAATGCAATCATTTCTGGAGCAAAATGCATCAGTCCCTGCAGGAAACCCCAGACACCACCAAAAGTGGAGGAGGAATAAGGGTTCTTTATCCATGATGAAATGCGACAAGGACTACTCTCTCAGTACTCTTCTACAAAAAAAGAGTTCATTACATGATGCAGAAAAAATCATCACCCAAATACAGGGCACAGACGGTCCCAAACATTGCTGTGATCAGTCACAAAGTAGGGTCCTGCTCTATTCTGCTTGGAAATACAGCCTTATAATGCAAAAAATCACAAGTCAATGCAGAAGAGAAGGAGGGGAGGAAGCAGCAGTCATTGAAGCATTTTTTTCTCCCTGTTTGGTCTCCTTACATCCTGGATGGCAGCAAGAGGTGAGCAAGAGGTGGGAGGGTGAGCAGGACTGCTACCGTGCAGGCAACAGGGTTAGAGGGGTCTGCCTGCACCATGTTGTTACATCAGTGAACATTGAGCCACTGATGTGTCAGGAATTGAGTTACCTCTGCTAAGAGCAAGCCAGTCACCAAATCAACTATAAAAGTTAAGAGATGTTTTTGAAACACTGGCTTCTATCTGTTTAAGCAGGTCAACAAAGGCCAACAAAGATGATCAGGGGCACCTTCCTTATGAGAAAAGGCTAAGAGAGTTGGGGTTGTTCAGCCGGGAGAAGAGAAGGTTCCTGGGAGACCTTAGGGTGGTCTTACAGTACTTAAAGGGGGCTACAGGAAAGATGGAGAGGGACTCTTTACCAGGGAGTGCAGTGACAGAAGGAGGAGTAACAGTTTTAAACTGAAAGAGGGTAGATTCAGATTACATCTAGGGAAGAAATTCTTTCCTGTGAGGGTGGTGAGACACTGGAATAGGTTGTCCAGAGAAGCTGCCCCCTCCCTGGAAGGGTTCAAGGCTGGGTTGGATGGGGCTTTGAGCAACCGTGACCAGTGGAAGGTGTCCCTATCTGGGGCAGTGGGACTGGAACTAGACGATCTTTAAGGTCTCTTCCAACACAAAACATTCTATGTAAGACAGCTATATTAATCTATCAATAATAATAATAACAACAACAACAACAATAATAATAAATACTCAGCACCTTCAAAGAAGCTGAATTTATACAGTAGCTGGAGGCAAATCATAAGGTTTTTGAACATATGATTTAAAAAAAAAAAAAAAAAACCATAATCCTAAAAAAAAATGGAGAGGCAGTTGGAAGGAGAGGGAAATAAAGAAAAAGTAAAAAATACTAGTTCAAAGCTCAGGAGGAAAAGAAAAATTGCTACTAAAAAAAAGAAAAAAATACAGAATAGTTGAAGGAATAGAAAAAGAGACAACAAAGATGAAATGGTTTCTGTCAGTGTAAGTAATGGTGTACTTCAGCCAGAATTAATTTTACATTTATTCTGGGGAGAAGAACATGTCCCTCTGAGAACCAATACTCTTAAGACTCCTCTGAACTTAATAGCACTGCTGCAGCTCCACACCAGGTGGATCAGCACACAAATCAAATGAAAAGCAATCGTCATTTGTCCATTACTTACTTCTCTTGGAGATCTGGAGCCTCCCTCTCGGAAAGTCGGTTTGCAGCGAAAATTAATCTGGTATTAAAATAAAACTGTTAGAGCTGAAAGTGAGGTGAGAGGGAATTCATTCTAATCTGTTGACCTAGGACAGACTTCCAAAATACTTATTATCTGTTAAAAATTAGCTTCACTAGCTGAACAAAGTAACTTATGTAGATGACAGAAAATCTCTTTCCATATGCCATTATAATTCACCTTGCTAGATCACTACACAGCCCTCATCTTCACCTGTGCTACTGCTGCCTGCTCAGTTCAACTATTTAAACTGTTTCCCCCACGTCTAGAAGGAAATTGCTTCATCTATTTTTTTCTGAAGATCATTTGCAAGCAAAGTAGACTTAAGATGAGGTCTCAAAAGTTAATAGAAACTGGAAATCTAACCCTGAAAGACCTTTTTGCACATCCCAGCTTTATGTCTTCATAAACAAAATCTGTAGAGAAATCTTCATTCATACAAACTGTGCGAATTACCCTAAATTTCTACCTCCTGCTTAGCTCAGGCTGCTTTTACCCACCTCCTCAACCACAAACCATTTGAGGAGCACTGTACTGCCTCATACAGTGCTGTTGCCTCCTTCAGATGGCAGAGGAAAGAAAGAAATAGGACAACAGGACCTTCCATGAAAAGAAAACATTTTTAGGAAGGCGAAGGAAAAAAGCATTTAACAAACAACATGGAATTATATAAGGAAAAAAAAAAAAGAAAAAAAAGAAAAACACAAAATATTTTGAGAAAGGAAAATCAATAGAAATAAGAGGAGGGGAAATGTAGAGGGAAAAACTATATACTGAAGAATAGAGATGCGTGAGAAAAGGCCAAAGGCTATGTGAGGTAAGAATGCACTTAATGAAATAGGTTCAAGCTTGACTACCCTTCAAAGAATAAAACACTTAAAGATACTGTATAGCTATGCTTTTGTTATGAAGGTAGAATGATAGAGTTTACCCAAATTTAAATACAACTCTCTCCCTTCCTATATAAATAAGTTCTTCCCTCATTTAATAATAATCTTCAAAATAATAGCTCGGGGTGGGGGGGAAGTAGTAAACAAAATACTTATTACTTAAGAAGAAACAAAAGACATAGCAGTATTAGTCTTCTTCCATTGCCTTTCACCTGGAATTCCATCTTGTCATTTCTCTGCTGAGTCGGGGCAGACTAAAAATACCCCCAGCATATATTAATGTTACTTACAATTTACCTATTTGCAGAGAGGTCCAAGCAGAAGACTTATGTACCAGTTTTAAATTCCACAGGGTTTGAGAGGGATGTAGACTTTATAACAACCCTCTGCCAAGAGGTAAATTTCATGATCTCCAAAATGGCCTAAACAAGCTCAACACAAGGGGTTTTATCTAAGTGCTCATTTTCTCCAGCTGGCAATGCCACCAGCTCACTGGGCTATGGAGAGTCAGCACTACCGATGATGAAGTCAGTCATGAAAAATTCACTGGTAGCATTTTGTGCTGAAAGCATGTGCTAATGCTAATTTGACTGCGGGTAAAAGCATCGGGGGTGGAAATGGTATCTCTCCAACTTGGTATTATGGCAATCACTGTGACATTTGTCAACACAAGTCCAAATACTTGGAAAGGAAAAAACTCTTTCCAAAGGGTTGCTGCTATAAATTTGTTATGCATCAACTTCTTTTATGAAGCACAACATTGCAAAACATATAGGAGTGAAAATGAAGCTCTAATGAAATCAATAGAGAAAATTCTCACTCATATTTCTTTACACATATCCACCAAGAATGAAAGGGGGGGGGCTGGTATTTAACACATTATCAGTTGGGCATAATAAAAACAAATCACTTATGGGAAGACTGAAGACAGTGATAGATATTCTATAGGCTCCTTGAAGGAACTGATAAGCAGGATAGATGATCACAGAAATAAAGGTTCTATAAAGGAAAACTTTAATGGTTTCCATTGTAAAAACAAAAGCTTAATTACTGAAGTTTTGAGAAGAAAACACTATAGTCTAGTAAATACAGTAAAAAAATGTTCATAGTAGCATCTATGTTGCATTGCATCTAATAAATATAGCTGTCAAAAGATTAATTATCCTGGGTTTAGTTAAGGAATTTTGAAAGGCCAATTTTGTACATGACAGAACACTGCATCTTCTAGCTTTAACTTTCAATCTAGAAGTAGAGGGAAATTATTTCTTAAACATAAAAGATGTAAAAGTACTACATGATTAACATAAAAGATGTGAAAGTGTTACATGGGTTTTTGTTGTTGTTGGGGATTTTTTTAATGGCTCACAGGGTTTGAAGAAATTATTTTTTAAAATAAGATGGAATTTTTAGTCAACTTCTTAAACAAATATACTGTTAAAACAACTGTGAAAACCGAATTTGGCATATGGTGTTTTCTGGACTGAAACCTCAGTAAAAGAATTAAATGAGTGCTGTCCACGTCAGGCTCCAGAAGATGGCAATGTCTTACCTTCTCTAACTGCTCCATGCACGCATTGTGGACCACAATCTTGCAGGCAGCACACTTCCTCCGCAGAGCAGATTTCTGCAAGAGGAAAAGGGAAACGTGTGTGCATGGAGGTGCGCTATTTCCAGGAGGAAAAAAAAAAAAAAAAAGTCAGCTGTGAAACAGGAGATCTTTCGCTCCTTATGCAACATATTTTTTCTTTTCTTGGTGCTCTCAACTGTTCCATATATTGAAAAAAGGTCTGAAGCTCTCCCAGTTAAGAATGGGACTTTGTGAAAATGACAGAGCCACAGTACTCCAGCTTGAGAACTAGAAGGAAAAGGCTCCCTTTAGGTAGCCGACAAGGCCGTTAACAGGACAGATCATCACTCTAAAAGGCAGCAGCCTACAAAAACGATGAGCAGAGCCAGTGAAAAGAGGAGAAAAACCATACATACAAATCCGAGAATTCAGACCAGTTCGGAAGAGTATGTTATTTCATGCTTATCGTATAATGTTTAATTTGATAGGTATAGCCATTGCCTTTCAGAAAAATACTTGGGTACTTGGGTCATTTAGCAGAGAGTGATAACCTTCTCACAGAATGTTGTTAAATGCTTATGAAATGTTACAACAGGGAGAAAATTCTCAACCTAATTATGCTGGTTAGTTTTATTAATTTCAGTAGGGCTTTTAAAATAACTCAATTGAATCCCCTGGGCCAAAGCATATCAAAGGCAAGAGAATGCAACCAGAAGAGAGAGAATATTTACCTTTTTTTTTTTTTCTAGCACATAATTTAATAAAAAGGTTGGAACTAATTTTCATAGAAGTAGTAACTTAGAGAATTGTGCTTAAGGGACAGAAAATTTATAAACACATAGTAAGTTGAGATTGATTTGTTTCAGATTTTTACATTCAATTCATTCATGTTCATTTAAATCTCTAAAATTATTTCTTTAGATTTTTCAGTATATTGTAAATTCAAGAAGAAACAAGGAACACAGCTTTGGCTTACACAGAATAATTTTTATTGCAGTGAGTCTCATAATTATGAGTCTCAATTAACAAGAAACACGGTAACTGTATGTGTGAACATGTATGTTGAGTGATGTTCTAATGTTTTACCTGAAGAATCATGACGTTGTAGAGCAGACTAAGTTTTCATGTGCTTTGTGACTTGTAAACATTAAGTATGTTTTAAATCTCCATTTACCAAGGAGAATGAGACAACATAAAGGAATTGATAGCCAAGATGAAAAACTGCAAAAAACAAACAGAGGTAACGCCCTACAAGCAGAAATATTTATTTATTTATTTATTTATTTTACTATCTTGTCTTTTAAATTGTCCTCATTATTTTTGAATGCTGGTGGTATTGCAAGTAGTTACAACCATTTATAGTCTGAATTTTTACTAGCCTCTCACAATCTTCTCCGTTACTTCAAAACGTGTTTAATTTATCATGAAATGTGAAGTCCATATTCCAGACATCATGAGTGAATGTTCTGTATAGGCTAATATTTTATGCAAAGTCTGTGCATCTACAGATCAATTATTTCTCACAACTTCTCCATTGAAAACATTTGATCTTAAATAGTCTACATGTAAAAGAGTTAAGACAAAGGAAGACCAGGACAGGCATAGAAACATGCAGTGTCTTCAAAAGCTTCAAACTGGAAAAGCATTGGCCTTTTGACAGATCAGGTTAAACCAACCACAACTAAAGTTATCTGGATTTCCATTTCCATCTCTAGGTTCTTAAAGTAGCAAAAGTCCCATATGCTGTAATATGTTATAAACATTGCTTTCCCCAAAGGGAACCAATACACTAGTACCTAAAAGTGGAAAGAATCTCAGTCACATCAAGCAAAGGCCAGGCAAATAAGAACTCAGCAACTTTAAACTCTGCTGCTTCCTAAACAGGACTCTGCATCTCCAGGCCTATTGGTTGGAAAAGCTTGTTGCCATGTTAAGATCCCTCCCAATGTTCCCAGACAAAAGTTTAAGTCAGTGTGTCTAATTCACCAGCTACTGCAAACAATCCAACTCAGACATACACCTCTAAAGCTAAGACACAGCCTTGCAGATCATATGCAGCATATTACTAAATTTCCATGCTATTTTCAATGAACTAAATCAAGAGGAAGTATTTACTCACTTTTAGAAAGGCAAATTTCTATTAAGAACAGTCATAACAGTTAAGACCAAAGGTCCACTCAGCCAAACAAATCCTGTCTCCAGCATTCTCCAAGTGGAGGGCAAACACACAATGACACTTTCCTTGAACATTATCCCACAATCATCAGCCTGTTACTGTTGGGACTTTGCCTCAGTGCTCTTTGTAAGCAGGCACAGACTTCCCAGGCTTGGCCATGACATTATACACCATAAAGTAACTAATTTGCTTGAGAAGTTATGGGAGATGGATGTTAAATTGGAGCTATAGAAAGCACTAATAATTTTGATCAAAATCTCCCAAAAATGCTTTGGATCAAATAATCTGAAGGGGTTTTTTTTCAAATAAACGCAAAAAGATGGTATCGAAGAGTTACAGGCAGTATCCAAAAAACACCCCTGAGAAGAGGGACTCCCCTTACATTTTGTAGCCCAAGGGCCAGGATGCTCCCTTGAGCACTGATTCAAAGCAAGAGCTTGAACACAGGATCCCCACACTCAGGTTTCCTAAATACCAATATAAGAGGGATTTTTTTCTTCTCTCCTGCTGAAGCAGTTGAACTGAAATACTAGGTGAAGGAGTTGCTGAACCAGACTGGAAGTATAAGAGTGACTCCCCAGTCAAAGAAGAGACAAATATGGGTTAGAGATCAATTCAAAGAAACTTCCATACTCAGCAGAAAAGCTTCAATAGAAGTAAGGCAAACCTTGAATATTCTCAAATAAGAGAAGGCAAACACTAAAATATGAGTGCACTCATTGCTGGCGGGTGCATTTAAGAGCTTTGAAAGTTCAGTTCAAATCACTGCAGTGATTAAAATCACAAAAATTTGATCAGATCCTCCTCTCAAGAGATATATTTGTGTACATAAATAAAAGAGGCTTTCTTTGAACATTTCTGAAATATCTCAATATTCTAACCTTTTTTCCCCTTACCATGTTAATAAAGTGACTCATTACATCCATTCTCCTTGTGTAAATAACCTGGGTCAGTCAAAATTTTTTGGGGCTTTTTTTCCCCCAAGCAATAAAGTCTTTAACCTGAAGCATTTTGCCCCTTGTGCATTCCTTCTGAAACACAAGCATTAACAACAGCAAACAACTCCCAAGCATCTAAGCAGTAACAGCAAACCTGAAGTCAGGCTTGTTACCTCAGAAAGAGAAGTAAATCTGAAAATAACTCACTGAGAATTTGACTTGGCAGCTTTCCTCCCCCAGGTAGCAGAGGTCCCCAGAAACATTTGTCTCCAGCCACAGATGCTCTCCATTCACAGCATTTTCCTGAAAAAAAGATGATTGTTAATCTGGTTTGCAAAATTCAGCCACATGAGTATAGAGGAGAAAGAAAAAAAAAAAAAAAAAAAAAAAAAAAAAAAAAAAAAATATCTCTAATTTTTCACCACAAATTTAGGAAAAAACTAAAACATACTCACACTCACACGTTGTTGTTTTTCTAAGACACAAAGACATAACAATATTACCCTGGCTGACCACCCCTGCTTAAAGGATACTGATGATACAGTGAATGATGTGTCACCCATCAGAACCAAAGTATTTTAGTGTACAGTTCAGTGAAACTTCACCCATATTCTTCCCACATGCTGCATAGTTTGACTGAGACTCTAGATTTCATAAGCATGTAATGTACACAGAATTTCAAAGAAAATCAAGAGAGATTAAACAGAAACATGACTACTGAGCTTTCAATTGGAGAAGCCCAAGATTTGAGAACGCAGCCCAGAAGTGCAAAATAACATGCTGACAACCGCTTTAGAATGACAGGATACTTTAGACATGGAAAAATGCTTTCTTTGAAATGGCTGGATCAACACTGTATGTTCCTGAAAACACCAACAAAACATTAAATGGCCAGGAGAGACCAGACTTTAATTTTATACCTAGAAGAACGATACATTTAACTGAACACTCTCAAAAAAATCTGCCTAGAACAGTGCAAATCAGTAGTGATTAACAGAGTAACATCTGATTTTTGTTTGACAGCCTCATTTGACCAAATCCATACCTTAATTTGTAAAAATTCTTGTTCTGAGGAAATTTGGTTGTAGAAAACCACAGTTTTTACTTGACTGCAATCTTGGCTTGACTAAAAAGCCTAAGAAATCTACTGTACACTACTTAAGCAAAGTGAATAAACAGGATTTCTGTTCAGCCAGAATTAGAGCATGATGGAAAACGCTTTGACAGTCTCTGACATTTGGTTCCCACACTGCAGAAGTCACAAATGATGACGCTTACCAAACAGATGGCGTCCGACAGCAGGATGCTCTGAAATAGCCATCTTGGTTAAAATAATTTATTTAAAATACCACTGACAGTTTCAAAGTGATGAAACGAGGAAAGCTTTGCTTGCCATGCGGATTCCTTCGGTAATGCAGAGAAGCAGAAGTGGCAAAATCCTTTGCCTTCTGGAGTACGAGTGCATCCACAATAGCCAAGACCTTTGCATGTGGTGCTTACCACAACCATGGTGCTTACTTCAAATAAATCAAGAGAATGAGGACAACTTATTTTATTTTTCTGGTGAGAGGACCACATGTCCACAGGTCTTCTAACTTCATCAGAAATGTTCCCATTGATGTCAGACTCAATATTATCCCTCAGCACAAGGGGCTGGATGAGAGCGAGACTCCAGTCTACTGCCATGGCATCCTGATTAATCTTTATATAGAGGCACAGCACTCTATACCTTCATTTCTTCTCATCCTTTTGTCTGCCTGTCCACCTGAACTGGTAGACTCCCTGGAACAGAGATTTTCCTAAACTGTAGAGTTCAGTGCATGATAGTTTAGGTGAGGCTTTTCAGCACTTCATAATGTAAAATAGCTCTTAAGGACTTTGACTAGCTTAAGAAATTCTTCAAGCCTTACTCAGATGGTAAATTATTCAGATTGCAAATTCTTTCCCTTCAGAAGTTTATCCTTATATTAAGGCAATTTTCTGGCAAGAACTGTAGCAGTTTTACAGCACTTCATTGAAACCTAGTCACATCACACTAATGAAATTACTATGCCCATAGTATTGCCCAACATATTAACTTCCTGTCTAGTTTATGAGGAGCCAGACAAGAGGACCAAGCAGGAGGATATGAGCTCATCCAAGAGTGTTTGACATGAGCACATTATCTTCTGATGAAACAGTGCTAACTCAACATTATAACCCAGAGCTAAATTTTATAAATTATAAAAGATGTTTAGGAAGAATCAACTATGAAAGCTAAGTAAGAACGTACACAACTCCTGGGACATAATTTTTAAAGAGGAATCAAAATTACATTAAAAAATAGATTAAACACCCCTTCGTTCAGACCATGACCATATAACTTGCCATCCAGGATTTCTAAAGATAAAATGGCCTATTTCCATAACCTACTTTAGACTGAGTTTGTTCTCCATTGTTCCAGACCATATCATAGATTCACATATCTGACTTTACCTCCCAGTGTAAATAAGATCTGTTAGTAGTCTACAAAGATGAACTTAGTAGCTCCTGCTATGATAGAGTTCTGACAAGACTACCTGATCTGGTATAAGCGGCATACCTCCAGATACCTACAGCCAATTTCACAGCACTGTGTGCAAAAACTCCCAATTTCAATTTCAGCAAACTGCTATTTGAAAAAATCTTCTTTTATCCTGAATCAGAGCAAAGAGCTGAGGATTCCCAAGATGAAATGCCCTCCCTCAAAAAACTTTTCCTGTCAATTGTCTCAATAAGATCAGGGGAGTTATTTGAACTTCACTGTTTTAAATTTTACAGGGCACTGTAATTTATATGATGAGAAATTATGTTGCTGCTGATGAAAATCAAGATTATATAGTCAAAGGAAAATGCATTGACCTTTTCCAAGACCAATTGTTCATTCAATTCTAATAGGAAATTTTAACAAAAATAAATATATTTCTATGCAGAATTTTTACTTCATTAAATCAGTATTTTCTACTGAAAAATTTACAGGCAGTATTCCACAATGTACTGGACAAAAGGGTACTCCATCTACCAACACAAATTCACAGAGGTCACTGGGATCACCTTTAGTACGAGCTCCTGTTTAACACAAAACTAAAACAAAGTAAAGGCTACATCATCACTTGTATATTTTGACACAGATTATTTTTTCACAAGAGTTCCGAGTTCAGCAACCTTTTCATAAATAATTTGACAGTCTGGTTTATTTTGTACTTGATGTTTTTATGTTGGCTTTAGGAGTAAATGGCTACTAAACAGGCAGTTGTCCTCTTTCTGTCCCTGACCCGTTAGACCCAGTCTCATGCTCTTGCCATTTTTCTTCTCATCTACACATGAATTGGTTCAGCTGATAGAAAAAAAAAACAAACTTATCTACAAAATCAGCTAGACAAAATGACTCACTCTGACCACATAACTGCTGGATCCGACACAAGGAGTGGTAGGTTAAAGGTGGGTTCAGTGGGACTGATGCTTTTGTTACCAATTCAGTGTTACTGCAGCTTAGCTGATCTGTCAAATCATGCTTTTAGGCTGACATGCTTTGCTTTGGCTTGCTATGTAGAAAAGGGATAGTGTCCATCATTACGGATAAAACAGCAGTAAGTGCAGCCTAGTATTCTGCAGTTAAAGAGAGAATTGGGAACTCTGTTTCCTTGTCTGGCTTCGCAGCCCTTGTAAGTGTGTGAACTCTGTGTCCTGTGAAGAGAGAGCCCCTGCTCACTTAAGCGGAGGCAGCAGCGCTTTCCTGGCAGATGCAACCTGCCTCACAGGGGACACACATATTCAATATGCTCTCCCAGATGGAGACCTCCCGTTCGATTGCTCCTGATCCGCTACCACCTTAATAGCAAACAAAAATAAATTTCAGTATAGCAAACATTCATTGCATATGAAACAAAACCCACATACAACCCCTTCCTGAAATGAAAGAAATAAGAACTCAAGGACTAGGAGTTTGAGAACAAGGTAATTATATGTGCCTGTTCATAACTTACTGTGCACATTTCATTAATTCGACTAGGTTTCTTCTCTTAAGTGCCCCAGCATGGTTAAATGACAGAGCAAGGGTTACCATTTTTCTAAAGACCTTAAGTATCTCCATACCTCACTGTTCTTCAGGTTGTAGTCAGCATGGTTTCAAAAGCAATGCAGATAAACCTCAGTAATCTAATTTGCCATGTCAAGCAGCTATAGATATTCAGCCAAACAAATACACCAGTCAGGCCAACTTTCTAATTCAAGGGAGTTGTAACTCCCATTTTAATGGGAGGTATAGAGCTCTCCTCCACTCCTGCCATACTGGTGTTCTGCAAAAAATTATGTAAGACAGATCTCTAAAATAAGCCATTAAGAAATTTTTCCCATTGTTAACACTCCAGCTAGAGATGATGTCTCTTTTTACAAATATACATTCAGGTCAAATTTAGGATTAGTGTAAAATTAGTGCTCAATCTAAACTTAAACACATTTGTAAGCAAAAATTACTAGCTTTAGACCTTTTCTTTATATGGTCACTATCGAGCAGAAACAAGTTTGTTTGGATGTCTTTTTCCCAAATGTCTTTCTCTCATGTTTGGGTTATGTTTTACCCTCACTCTGAAATTCCAGAGTTTGTAATGCTATTTCGCAGCAATACTAATGTACCAAATGTTTTTTGTTGATATATATTCTCAGTTTTAACTCCATTTTAGCACATTTTAATTTAGGAATATTCTTCATGTAGAAGTAATCTTTTCTTTAATTATTACAAATGTAATAAATGGACATAAACCAAAACAGAACATCACAGAGATATCATACTACATCAGAAAACTTGAGGATATGTAGGCTCCAACTTTCAGAACTATTTTCAGGTGTTCAACTTTGAGGTCTAGGTTCACCACACTCTAGCTTTTTCTGCCATTCTCCTTTCCCCCCATCATGTTTTCCAACATCCCTGCATCTGTTACCTGTCTCTGCTGACCTTCTGAGATTCTTGTTACCATCAGCTGTATGCTGAAGCAGAATAACAACGTTTGTCTTCATGGAGAAATGTCCAGATGCTATATTCTAAGATGATGATTCCCTATGTTCTCATGAGCCATTATTTTGTCTGACAGCCACTTAACTTCAGTCCTTTTGGCATCAACGGGAAAAACTACCTATTTTCAGAAAAGGACCTTCTGTAATACCACTACAACCTCTATGCTGCTGAAAAAAACATAGACATGGCCAACATTTTGAGATATGACAGACTATTTTTTTTTTAGATCTCTCTGGAAAGAGCATTAGTTCTCAAATCCTGATGAAAAAGAAACAGCAAAGCTGCACTACTGATTCTGAACACATTGCTTCAAGTGTCACCTGCGCACAAAATTTCAGCAATTTAAGTATGCATGGATCTTGCACTCATCACTAGTTAAATAAGTGGAACTAATGCTCCCAGCACCTCTACATGGTTTTTTGTGGCTAACTGGATACACATTCCCCAGGGTTCTCCTTTCTCATGTGAGTATCTGATAACATACATCTCTCTTCAACTGAATACTCAGTTCCCAATTACAAAACTTAGTTTTGCATACACTCTAATAGAAGGGAAATATCCTTCAGTGTAAAAATTAGTATAGTTTTTAGGAATTAACAATACAGAAGCCAAACCATTCACATGGAAAATAGATTTAGCTAGATTAACGAGGGAAATGTTTCATCATATGTAGAACATGTATTAACATGCTTGTTAATTATCTAAAGTGTAGTATATCACTAGGCACTTACACTTATTGTCCATGAAAGTAAGTGGACAGCACTACTGCCTAATGCCAAGACACAGAATACAATGCAACAGACTCACTGAAAGTCACATTCACCAACTATAAATACCTCGCTGATAACAGGCCACCTCACTGACTATTTATCTAGTCCATACTCCATCAGTTTATCTACAAGGATGTTACAGGAGATAGTGTCATAAGCCTTGCAAAAGTCAAAATAACAGCCGTTGCTCTCCCCTCCTCTATCAAGCCAATCATTTAATTACAGAAGCCTGTCAGGCTGGTCAGGCATGATGCCCTCTCCATAAATCCATGCTAACTACTCTCAATCACTTTATAAATATTTTTGGAAATGGTTTCCAGAAGAATTTGTTCCATCACCTTCCCAGGAATGAAGGTGAGGCTGATCAATCTGTAGTTCCCTGGATGTTCCTCCTTGTCCTTTTTGAAGACAGGACTGACATTTGCTTTGTTGTAGTCCTCAGGAATCTCCTCTGATCATCATGACCTTTCAAAAACAACAACAGACTGTTCTTGCAGTGATATCAGCCAGCTCCCTCAGCACTTTTGCTGAGTCCCATGGACTTCTGTATGTTCAGTCTAAGTGTTCCATAATCTGATCATCCTCTACAAAGGTAAGTCTTCCTTGCTTCAGCCATTGGTATCAGGGGCCTAGGATTCCTGAAGACAGGTCTTACCAGTAAAAACGGAAGTAAAACAAGCACTAAGCACATTGGTTTTTCCATATCCTTTGTCACCACATCCCCTGCCCCATTCACACATGGCCTAACATTTTTCCTAGTGTGCCTACTGCTGCTGACATGCCTACAGAAACTACTCTTGTTGCCCTTCATGCTCCTGTTAGATTCAACTCCAGATGAGGTCTGGCTTTCCTTACCCCGTCCATGTGCAATCGGGTAGTGCCTTCTACAATCCTTCTGGCTGGCCTGACTTTCCTTCCACATATTGCCAAATGCCAGTTTTTAACTTCTGTCAAATACATAGCATTATATTCTTGTTAGGATCTATAAGATTTTTTTTTTTCTTTAATACATATAATTTATGGTATAAAGTTATAGTATTTCTCCTCTGAAAAATATTCAGCTTGCACCCAGAGAACTCTGTGCATTCACAAAACACAAAGCATGGATGAATCTCATGTTTTTTTCATTGAACTCCAGGAATGGAAGCTGAATGTCTTCAAATGCCTCTTATGGGACATAACTAGGGTTCTAAGTCCTGTGGTCATGGGCCATAAACGCCTGCTAAGAAGGCAAGAAATGGGTAGCAATAGACAAATGCATTACAGACACACAAAATGAGACATTTTTGGCCAGTGGGAAGCTCACCACAGTAATAACTTAGTGGCTGTCAAGATTTTTGTAGGCACCAAAGAAAGCAAGAGCAAGAAGGCAGTACTTAAAAGGAAATTACAGAATGACTTTGCACAAAAGCTTATGATTATTTTTCTTTGGGAGCAAATGGCAGTATGCAAATACACAAAGACCTAGATCCCCAGTGGTACACAGGCACTGTATGAGGTAGCTCAGTCTGTACTTAAATCTGGGCTAGAATTGCTTACTTTATCATTTATCCTATGAAAGTGATGCCTAAAATGGGTGAGTGTGGGAGAAGGGGCTATGCATAAACATATCACAAGAAGCATTTAAGGTGGTTCATTTTTGAAAGGCATATTCTACATTCCACTCTGGCTATAACATCACCTACTCCAGAGAATATATTCTGTATGGCCCTGCTGTGAAAAGAGAGCATTAAATTAGACATCAAAGCTACAAGCTAACTTGAATTAGGTGTAGCAAATATGATGAAACTGGGCATTTATGTTAGAGAAAAGAAACCCCAGGGATGATAGATAGTAGCAACAACAATAATAAAGCAATAGTGTTTCTTATGTAAAAGGTCTTAAGAGACATCAGAATCACCACCTCCATTTTACAGCTAGAGAGGCTGATGTACTGAGAAGCAAAACAACTCATCTGAGTTCACTCACGAGGTAAGTGGCAGAGCAGGGAATGGAAACCCCACTCTGAATCAGAGTCCTGTTCACAAGAACATCTGATAATGGCAAATAACCTGCAAGAAGTTACCAAAAATTGAGACCATAGCCAGGGAATTCTTTCCAGTTTTTACTGTGAAGACAACAGGGAGGAAACATTTTCTACTGCAAAGTCAAATGACAACTTATGTTCATGCCACTTCAACTTTGGAAAGCTCTCCCATCATGGGTCCTTGGAGAATCATCCTCAAAAATACTGAAGAGTAGGATGATATAGATGGAGATGGAACATGCACTGATTACTGCTGCCTTCCAGTGATTAAATAGAAAGACATCCTCTGTCTGGCTCCAACACATCTTAACCCAAATATCTTTTCACTCTACCAAATACAACTCTCGAGTTAAACATCAGTACTTTAAAATTAACTTTTTTCTTTATTGACATCACTAGCCATTATAAACTTTAGTCCATTTCATCACCTTCACAGCTCCAAACCACCTCCCTGTTATCTCCTTTACATATCTCAGATTTGAGATATGCCTCTTTCCACACATTCACCAGTTACTACACCTGGTCAGTACAGGCTCCTCCCAGCTGTAGATGTCTTCCATTGACTAATCCTGCCCCTTTCCCCACATGTCATGGGGCTGCCTCCCTTCTCCAGTCAAAGTGTGAAGCAGCAACCCTAATCTGGGAGGCTGGGACAGCTGACAAATTGAACTGATCAAAAATCTAAACCATAAACCAGGAAGTGTCAAAATATGCACACACCCCCTAATAATTAAAACCCACGATATTTAATCAATATTCACCAACTTACATCAAGTCCTGCAGTATTCAGGTACTGGGATCATGTGAGGAACCACCTGGTAAAATGAGTAGCAGACAACTGACTATGAATTAAATTGTGGCTGTTGGTCTTGGGGTTTCATTTTTTTCTTGGGGGCTTTGTTGCTGTTGTTGTTTCCTCAGTAAAATTTTGAAAGGTGTTTGTGTTAGCCAGTGTCTAACCCTTCACATATGTGCCTTATCCTTCAGATTTCTACTAAACAGCACTGATGATTCAAAGCAGGCACATGTTTTAATACTCTACTGAAGAAAAAGATCAAGGTATTCTCCAAAGCTCTTCCAAAAGTATTCTATGCAAGCTTTCAAATGCATTTTAACACTGTGTTACACTGCTGTAGAACATCATAGTGAACCTAATCCCTCTTCCTGCAGCACAGCCTGTAAAATTTCATCCACTTAAAGTTTAAGTGCAACAGCTGGGGTTGAACCAGAGCACACCATCTATAAAACCTTTCAGTCTTGATATAGAGAACAGAGATAAACATAACATTTTTTGATGGCTATGGTTTATCTTCACCTAAAAGCCACCCAGGTGCCTGGTGCCTTGATACTGCTATATACCGACTTCTAGCCAAGATCTACTGTATGATTTGCTTTAAATGGGATGTCTGTGACACCTGCTGACTTAAGGCTCACCTTCTTAGCACATACCAGTGCATACCCACATGGAAGGTGCATAGAAATGGTTCAAAGCTGTGTCAGGGAAGGTTCAGACTTGACATTAGGAGATATTTCTCTACCAAGTGGTCAAACACCAGAACAGGCTTCCTAGAGACATGATTGATGCCTCCTGCCTGCCAATGTTTAAGAGGTATTTGGACAATGCCCTTAACATGCTTTAACCTTTGGGTCAGCCCTGAACTGGTCAGGCAGTTGGACAAAATTATCATTGTAGGTCCCTTCCAACTGAAATATTCTATTCTAGACAGTCCTAAACTGTCCCCTTCTGAACTAGCCTAGAAACATAAAAGAAGCAAGATGAGAGGGATGGAAGCATACGCTCTCTGTGTCTATAAAGCCACCTTAGGCCCAGAAGAAATATAGCCATATCTACAAAGTATCATGATCAAAGATTTCCACTACCTACTCTACAGACTCAGCCAACCCAACATGGGTCCTCAGCCTTAAGATTTTGGGCCATCAGGCAGAGGTAGAGAACCCTGCTGTGCTAAAATCAGATCACCTTTGGATTGCAGACCTTGTCAAGAAGGCAGTGAGCAAAGGTAGTCAAGCAGTCCCAGGCTGAAAAATCTTAACAGCTCTGTCCTGTGCCTCTCAAGTTTCCACAGGTTTTCATGTCTCTGCCTTGTGCTTCATTTCATAATAAAAGCATGTCCCTAATGACCAGCACTCATTCCAATAGCAGCACAACGTCTTATGTTGACTTAAGGATGGAGAGAGCACTATCCAGAGATACTGCTCAAATTAACTGCCAAAAAACCAAACACCTACAGTCCACTCTAAGGCCGCCCGTGGTTCCTTCACAGGTCCATTGGAGACTGCGATGTTGAGGGAGTGCACCGGAGCCAAGTGCTGAAGGCCTGACCTGGAGATTGCTTTCCTGCAAATTGAAAAGAAAAGAACAAGTAAATGGAGTGTATATCCAACATAATTACCCAATATAATTATCCACCCCACCCTTCCCCAGAAATCAGAAGAGGCCGTACAGCATCTAATTTCAGCTTGGGTGAAATGGTGCTTGAATGCCATCTCCTGCTACGGCAGTTTAGGAAAAGAATTAAGTAATCCGATCACTGAAAATTACTGTTAAATAAAGATCAGTTACTCATCTGGCACTAAGCTGAAATATCAAATCCAGTGGACTACATATGGTTCTGTTTGCCAGTTTCAGTGAAGCCCTTGCTCAGTATACCTATTCCTTACATACCAGCTGAACCCGTGGAATCAATGTATGCATAATTCCAAACAGACTTTATTGGAGGAATGAAATATGAGTTTATACAAAGAATGCAACATCTGTTGCTTTTACTTAGTTTATAGGCTGGGAAGTCATCCGTTCAGCATCCAAATACATGAAACAAGACATGGGGACACCACTTAAGTCAGGATGAGGAGTCATACACTGCTACATTTTTTATCATATCAGCATCCCTTGAGGTATTACAGCTTCTTTCCACTTATATTTCAATTCTAAGTTTTTGGTCCAAAATCATTCCTATAGCACTTGAGGCATAGATATGGTCTCCTTCAAAAGTCACAGATAGTGACCAGAAACCCTCTGAGAGCTCCACAAGAACTGAGGGAGTATCCACTACCTGCTTCCCTAGAGGCACCCAGCCCTGCCGGTTCAGCCTCAAATAGGGAACCGTCAGGTGGAAGCTCAGTACGCTGCTGATAGAAAGATCAGCTGCACGTAGACAGCAGATTGCATAAAGCTTCATAACATTATTGATTTGTGTGTTTTAGCATGTGATGGCGGTGGCCAAAACTATCTCACAGCTTCAGCTGCAATGATTCAGAAAAGGACAAAAACATCTCAAGGAGAGGTCTCCTTTTGTAAGTTGAATATACTCAACCCCCACAAAGTGAAATGACAGTGTTTGTGTAAAGTGCATTTCTGTGATACCACTCCCACAGTGCAACAGCTATTTATAGCATCTCCTAATCTTATCACTGTCCCAAGGCAATAAAGGTCAATTGAGCCACTGATGACAATCCAGGTCAGCCATACATTAAATAAATCTTTTCATTGTCCTGAAAATACACAGTGGAATATATATCCACAGTAAAAGAGCTTGGAAGCCTCACTGCTCACAGTGCACATCTGGAAAAATCGAGTAGGCTGAATCAGAATCTCTTAAATTTCCTTTCCTGTGGGTAGAATAAACCACTCTGAACATTAACTTCAGCCTCTGATCACCCAGTGAGCTCTTTCCACTTAACAACATGAGCAAGACACTGACATAAAGGGGTTTTTCAAAAATATTTTGCATTTGACAAAAACCTATTAGAGGGAAGGACACTAAAGAAAAGACTTTTACTACCTGGCAATGTATCAGGAGAGAACAATTCAATCAGAAAGATTTTATGCCATATGTCAATACAATATAAAATAAATATCTTCTCAATGACCAGATTAAGGCCTTAAAGAAATAAATCACAAGAAACTACAAATTATTTTAAAATATATTTTTCCACAAAACTGTCCAAGACTTAGTAGTCTCCTTCCATGCAATTATGGGTATCTATCTAGTTATTATTACTTCCTAAACACACAAATGCATTCTTGTGTCTATTCATGGTTTATAACATGGTAATTTGTTTTGGTGGAAATGGGACAGTATCACATTTTCCACGCTGCATCACTGACAGTGATAACCAAACCTACTTAGTCCTGTCCTCATAACAGAAGGTAGCACCCACTATCGTAGTACTCAAGCAAAGGTGGCTGAATAATAAAGTGTTGGCAACTAATTATTATCTGATGAAAAATGCCAACATTTTCAGCCAACACTGCTTACAGCCTATGACCTGTCAAGCAATAAAACCTGTAAAGTTGCATGCTTCCACTAAGCAAATTTACTAAAGCAAAAATCTGTGATGAATATTCCTAGGAACAAATTTATATGACCAGTCTGAGGACAAGGCTTCCAGCTGGAAGGCAAATTCAGCAGACTTAAAAGGTAAATATGCCTAATCAACAGCTACAGATATCTCAGCATCAAGCCTTGGATACTATTTCAAGTCAGATTTAGAGATGTGCAAGCCCCCTGCAGCAGAACCTAAGACTTGGCACACATTCCTTTAAAAGTGAGGAGAGGCTGATAAGCCTTTTGGGGGAGGCTTGGCACAGTTTTGTGCCAACAGCCTGCCCTTCCTCTGCAGCCAAGCTGGATTTATGGCTTTGTCTGAGAAGCACACAAAACAGAGGCATGACAATAATGTCTTTTTTTTTTTTTTTTTTCCCCCCGCCCCAGGTTTGTTTTAACATAAAAGCCTTAAAATGATCTCAGGATTGCAAATTTCCATGAACCAGACAGAAGTGACCCTTAGGCCCAGGGGCAAGCTAAAAATGCCTACTTCTACACAGCTTATCAGAACTTTGTCTCAGAACAGAGAGAGACACAGTGTCAAAACACACTCCATGAACTGCAGAAGCCTCTCTCATTAAAAAAAAAAAAAAAAAAAAAAAAAAAAAAAAAAAAAAAAAAAAGACTAAAGAGCAAACACATGGCCTTCTAATTGTAAGGCAGAAAAGAGAGGGGGAAATGGGGCAAAAGGAAGGTAGCATAAATGTGATAACCAAACAGATACTGAGTGTCCAGGTGATCATATCTCATATTCCTTTAACTGACAGATTACACCACCTGGCACTTTTGCAGCAGCAAGGTAACACAACTGGCTTTTAGTTATCTTTCCCAGCAATTTCATCTTCACCGTCCTGAGCGCATGAATGAAAACACAGGTTCGACAGACAGTCTTCCACAAAGAAGAAAAAGTAAGCACTGTTCCCCTGATAAAAGAGACAAAATAGTGAATCTGTGCTTCATTATATATTCCATTCTTCAGACTATGAAGTCCACAACTTTGTTAAAATAGGCATACCAGCCAGCTTGCTGATGTAGCAACCAACAGCAAGGAAATGTGACATGATAAGTAATGAGCTGTATTTTGAGAGTTACTTTTTCATATTGAGTAATCAGTAATTTGTAGTAGATGTTATTATCAGCTTAGCTAACACCACCACTGTGAACAAGAATGGGCATATATACACATGTATGTCATTAAATATCCAACAAAGAAAAGTATCTGATACTAATTCCATACTTGATACCATTAAGAAAAATTTTTTTAACAGAGCTGTTGACCATATCGGAAACCAAAAAGCAATCAGACATTCAAGCTATTCAAGTATAGTAACCGATTTCTTTAAAAAAGCATTACATTTTAATTTTGCGGAAAAGTCAGGCGAGACTCAACCTACTTATTAGATCAAAGCATACATATTTGATTAGGGGGGATTTGAGTTTATAACCCAGGCTTTGGCTTTACTGAGCCTTTTTTCCACCTAAGGCATATAAAAATTCTCCAATGAGTTGTTTAGACTGAATAGTTATGCCTGAATCCGCAAAGACAACAAAAGACAATTAGTAGCATGCAGCTCATTTAAGTGTTAGAAAAATCTATTTGGAAAAGAGAGACTTAGTGCTGCACACGGCTAACAGATTTGAGTGTCATTTTAGCTGTCACTGGTGTTGGCATTGCTGCCTTTGAGGCTGGGGTTATTACCCTCCTTTTCACAGGACATAAGTTACCACTGGGGTAGACTCTCGGCTGTAAGGTTGAGAGATCATCAAAACACAGAGACTGACTGACTTCCACAGATCCTATGGCTAGGACATCTGCTAGGAGGGAGATTTTTAGGAGTCTTTTCTTAAAGTTAGCATAATTATTTACCAAGGACAGTCATTAGTATAAGTGTTTAAATTACAATAACTCTGCTTTTCTTTAAATATTCACTGTAGAAGAACAGCTTTGCCAGTCACAACTTGAAGATCCCTGTACAAGGCCAGACAGTACCTGCACACCATGGGAACAATTTGTATGCACCCGAGTTTGTTTGAAGGTGGTTTTCCCTCCTGCAATTTGGTGCTTATGAAAGTCATGAACAAAATATACTGGCTAAACTCGGGCATTATTTAAGTTTTCCACACACATCTCTGCTGACGGCAGCGTGCTCCTGCAACCTGATGTTCCCAGCTTTCCTTCCGGGCATGTTATGTCCTCCTTTTGAGCTGACCACGGGACACCAACTATTTCGCCACAACATTAAGATTCCCAAGCATTTTGTATTCGATATAAAAGGAGCCAACTTCAGTCGAATCAAATAATCTGTCTGGTCCAGTATCGCGTTTCTGACAACAGCCAGGAGCAGGTGTTTAGAGAAGCACTGGCACAAATTGGGTGATCCTTCCCCTGACATACTCCAGTCCCAGCTTCCAGTAATCAGTAGTTTAAGGGCTTCCTGAGCTGGAGGCTGCTTCCAGACCTTTGTGCGTAATAGCCTGTAATGGCTCTTTACTCTAGGAATGTGTTGGTCCTTCCCTGAACCCATTTATACCCTTGGTCTCCACAGCAGCCTATATAATGAGTGCCACAATTTAATTATGGGCCGTGTAAAGTACTTCCTTCTGTCTGTTTTAAAAATTTTGCCAGATAATTCAATTAGTGTACCATATTGTGAGGAACAGCGAGTAATCACTTGCCTCTCTACACCTTCTGTGATTTTATGAATCTATTCCTATACCCCTTCATTCACCCTTCCCACTCCCCCAAGGCTTTTTTTAAGGTTTAAGGCTTCTGCTGATACTGAAAATGTTCTTTGTCAGTGTTTTCTAGGTTGGTTTTGGTTTTTTTTTTTGAGATGGGATTGCCAGAACTAGAACAAATATTCAAGATCCAGCTGCACCAGAGGTTTTATCAATCATGTCATCGTATTTTCTGCATTGTTCTCTTTTACCCTCCCTCATTCTGAGCCCTTTACTTGACTTTTTGTCACTGAGAGTACTGAATTAATCATTTCATAGGAGTACTTGTAAT